TAACACAGGAGAACACCTTTACAACCTTGAGGTAGGCAGAGATTTCTTTAAATAGGACAGGTATGTACATTGTGCGCCAGAAGAGTTATACAAGAATATACTAAGTAGCATTTTTGCAGTACCATAATGTAGTGGTAACCAGTGTCTACCAATGGTGAAATAAGTAAATTATGAACAAATAAATAGAATAAAAGCAAGGAAATTAATTTCTCCTACATGCCACAGTGTAATTGAATCTCTGAGACATAATGGTGAGCAATAAAAGCCAAACCCACAAAAAGCCCTACATAGGATTCCATTAGTATATTTTTTTTTAATTCAAAAAAACCATTCCTTTTATAAGTGTGTAGGAATGCCTTTTCTGTATTCTTCATTAATGCTGTGTTACACTCTTGAACTTTTATCTTCCAGTTTTACAGGTGTGATCTCATTTAATTTCCATTTCTTTATGAGTAAGATCAAACATCTTTTTAAATGTGTTTTAGACAATTTATATGATGCTTAAGAGTAGTGACTCTGGAAATGGGTAACATGTTTGAATCTCAGTTCTGCCATCAACTCAATAGCATTTGGGGCATTTTACATGTACATATATATGTGTAGTATACATGTAATACATGTACTTGTTTTAAAAAGTGAGACAGCCTGGTTTTTTTTTAATGCCCTTTATGGGGGTTTTTTGGACATTTTTTAAATTTAATTTTTTATTTTTTATTAACATATAATGTATTATTAGCCCCAGGGGTACAGGTCTGTGAATCGTCAGGCTTACACATGTCACAGCACTCACCACAGCACATACCCTCCCCAGTGTCCATAACCCAACCACCCTCTCCCTAACCCCCTCTCCCCAGCAACCCTCAGTTTGTTTTGTGAGATTAAGAGTCTCTTATGGTTGAGACAACCTGTTTTCTATAAAATTTTAAGAAAAGAGTGAAAAGGATTTTTACTGAGTTTTCTAAGAAGCTCAGAGCATAGAGAAACACTGCTGACTAGTCTGATTATAAAATAAAGCCCAAATGAGGTGGAGACTGGATATAGAGTATGTTTTCCACTTTAGTACTGTAACTACTGAAACGTGGGAAGAGGATAGGCTAAAATATTAGACATAGACTAGGTCTTCATCTCAAGGAAATTAAAGCAGGGTCTCAAAGAGATATCTGCACTCCCATGTGGGTCACAGCATTATTCACAACAGCCAAGTTATGGAAACAGGTTAAATGTCAACAGATGAATGGATAAAGAAAATGTGTATGCATACAGTGGAATAGTATTCAGTCTTAAAACGGAAGGAGATCCTGCCATTTAACAACATGGATGAACCTGGAGGACATCATGCTAGGTGAAATAAGCTGGGCACACAAAGATAAATACTGTGTGACCTCACTTGTATGGTGAACTTTAGGAAGGCAAACTCATGGAAGCTAAGAGTACGACAGTAGGTTTCCAGGGGCTCAGGGATGGGGGAACTGGAGAGATATTGGTTAAATGTTGGTCAAAGGTCACATGTTTCAGTTATAAGATGAATAAGTTCTAGGGACACAGCATGGTGACTGTAGTTAATAACACTATATTGTATACTTGAAATATGCTAAGAGCATATATCTTAAGTGTCCCCACAAGAAAAAAAAAAAAAAAACAGTAACTGTGTGAGGTGTTGGATGTGTTAATTAGCTTGGTTGAGGCAAGCATTTCACAATGCATATACACATATCAAATAATCATGCCATACACTTTAAATATGCATAATTTTTCTTTGTCAATTCAACCTCAGTAAGGCTGAGGGAAAAGGAAATCTGATTGGGGCCCAATATTAATCCATAAACTGTAGATCGGCTTTGTACAGTTTTAGTTGTGATCTTATGTCATCATTAGTGGTTCTGCTTTACTTAAGACAAAAATAGAAGAAAAAAGTTTTTTCAAGGCTCAAGTTATTTAAGCTTTTTGTTTGTTGAGGGTTCTGTGAGCTTCAGAATGACAGGTGATTATAAACACAATTTATAAATGTGTTCTTTGTAATAATTACCAGCGATGCATCTGCTTGCCGTTTAATCTATTTAGATATAAATAATACAGTTTTTTAACTTAGAGCTTGTGGGTAGGAAATGAAGACAAATGGATAGATGTTTCTGCTTCGTGGTAGCCACTGTTGTTTTCCTTTCATGTCTTTCTCTGGTTAAATCCATGCAGTTCACTTAAGTAAGTAGACTGAGCCCCTGTGCAAGGAGCTGGGCAGATGGAGGTTCCAGTGTGAGCAAGTTCATACGGGGAAGTTTGCAAGATTTCAATCTAAAAAGCTAAAATTCTTATTAATTCCTTTATTATATAAATGTACTTGATAAATGAGAGTACAAATTCAACTACTCATTTGATCTTCAAAAACTGGGTGTTAAAAGAATATTTTTATTCTTACCAGTATAATGCCACTTTCTAATTTCTTTAAAAACAAATATTTTTATAAAGTGTAAACACAGAAACTTTTCAAAGATGGTCTATCTGTACCTAAAGTACTGTGCTGAGATGTTTTAATTTAATCCTCAGGTTTAAACTCCATAACCATACTATAGTTATTCTCTGTTTTGGGTACAATTGTGCTGATGTTGGAAATTGGTGGCTTAGCCATACTGGATATTATTCAGGATATTAAGTTATAGAAGTGTAAAACATTTCAGTTGGCTTTTTTCAAAATGTCTGAGTGAAATACTTTAATCCCATCAGATAGCTTCAAATAACTCACCTTTTAAAAATGAAGATGTGGAAACGACATCTTTTATTTAGAAGTTAAGGCATTATGGCTCAGATACGGGATCGAGTTATATAAATGTCTTATTTACTTGTGGCTCCACTATTTATGTTCACGCAGGAATCATTTATCATTGCAATTCAGAGAGCTTGTTTCAGTATGTATTATGTATTTGTAGGAAAATAATTTCATTGAGTCAGCAGCACAATGGTATTAGCACAAAGTTACATTTTCCTCCTGGTGAGGACTTTCACTGACTCACATCCACACTGTTCTGCCATCTACCTCATGAGCACTGACGCACATTTTGTAATTGGGATCCAGGATAGTTTCTGGCCAGTGTGGAAACTGAACTTACGTGCTTGTTTGGGGAACAGGATTTACAACCCTAGCCTTATTTAAACCAATTCCCTAAACACTGCTATTGTGATGGAAAGTAAACATTGAAGTAAAATCATGTGAAAAATGGCTAGAAAGATATATATTATCCTGTTCAAGAGTTGTTCCATACAATGATTTTGTAAAAAATCTTTTGTACTACCAAATCCATAGGTAGGGGGTTGTTGTCGTGTCACGTTAGGCCTCCAGGTTGGCTGCTAGCAGACATGCCCTCCTTAAGCCAAGTACTAGCAGTTCAAGCAGCTTTTCCTCCTAAATCTTTCCATGGGCCATCCTGGCTTCATTCAGGGGTGGGAGATGTGGCCCAGGGAACAAGAGAGTGGATGTAGGTCACAGCAGTGTTGGCGCACACACTGAGCTCAGATAGAGGGGGTCGCATTTGGGGAGCAGACTGTGCTTGGGAGTGACAGTTCAGACCCTTTTTAAAAATATATGTTTAATGTTATTTGTCAGCAGACACAAAATAACAACATGGACAAAAAATCAAAACTCATAGAGCTGCAGTGAGGAATAACCAACTGATTAATGACTTGTGAGCAATTAAAGTAGTATTTAAGGTTGATGAGTACACAAAAAAACCACCCACACCCTGAAATCTTACAGTCTTACAAAAATACCTGAGGAGTGCCTGGGTGGCTCGTTTGGTTAAGTGTCTGCCTTCGGCTGAGGTCATGATCTCAGGGTTCTAGGATCAAGCTCTGCGTGAGGCTCCTTGCTCAGTTAGGGGGTCTGCCTCTCTCTCTGCCCCCACCCACAATGCTCTTACTCTCTCTTTCTCTCAAATAAATAAATAAATCTTTTAAGAAAAACTTGAAAAAGACTTTACTGAATTTTACAATAATTCTAAAATTTAAATGACATTTCCAATAATAAGTTGTGAAGCATAAACATTTCTAACTTATCAAAATAAAGTCAACTGTCAATGCAAGAGGAATAACCAAACTATCTTTTTCTTCTCTCCAACAAAATTAATATAAAGTTATTAGAATATTGTGAGTTAATCAAAGAGTAGGTCTCCAAAGTAGAGGGGAAAAGGAGATTTTTCAGGCAGTGCATTAATAAAAATAATATGCTAATTTCTGGATTTTAAGAAGTATTAGGTATTTGTCATTTTTAAAAATTTATTAACTTGTTAACATTTTTTTCATCCGTCTTTCATGAGGAGCATGAGAGAAAATACCTAGCAGGTTCTATTTTTTTCACATTAAGACTGGGAAATAAATGGGACAAAATGGTCACAACTGTGCCTTCTGGGGTGGTAAAATGTGAGTTTAGATTGTCAATTTTTGTGGATTTCTAAGGTTTTATTAAATTGCTTGTAAAAATTTCTAACACGTTGCTATATAAAGAGAGTACGTTACAGCAGGAGTCAGAGACAGATGAGGACTCTACCAAAACTCTTGAACTTACTAATTTTGTGAATGAGGCAGATACCCTCCTTGACATGAGCCTGAGTTTTATCTACAATATATGACTCGTGTCACCAGTCCTTCCTAGGTTTTGTACAAGGATGAAAGTAAGAAGTAAAAGGCTTTATAAGTTATAAAATAGTAAGTGTAATATTATTTATTCCATTCATATTCATAATTTTAGAAACTTTTTGTAGGAAAGGATGCATCTAATATACATGTCCCCCAAGTGGTAGAACTAACGATTCACTTTATGAACTTGTATTTTCTTCAGCTCTGCACGGTTGTTTTTGCTCTGAATCACTCAGCTATTTATTCTCCATTTTATTGATTCAGAACACATCTTTGGTAGAGCCAAAGTACACTTCCAGTAGGTAACAGCTCTACCCAGAAACTTATAATGATAATCCTATAGTCATATGAATCTTGTACTTTTTGTCTCCTTTCAGGTCAACGGTGATATTCCCCCTCGGTTAAAAAAAAGTGCTCATGAAATCATCCTGGACTTCATCAGATCAAGACCCCCTTTAAATCCGGTATGTGATCTGAGTGTTCCCCTTGGTTGGAGATCTTGTAGCAATGTGCTCTCCTCTAGGACGTGGTCTCTTGAACTCAGCTCTCGAGGTAGTTTCTACACCAATCTTTTATTCTCAGAATGATGAAGTCTAACTGTAAGTTATATTCTTCAGTCACAGAAAAAATACTTGAAATTATTCAATACAAGGCTGTCTTAGGATGTTTTAACTCAAAACAACCTGACTTGTGGTGCAGTTTAGTAGCCACATGTCCCTGAGTAAATTCATCAGCCTCTCTGAGCTTTTATTTCTTCAACTATAGAAAGAAGATAACAATAGCAATCTAAGAGGGTTGTGATGATTTACTCAAAAATGTTACTTTTAAAAACAGTAATAGTAATAAGTATAGGTTACATTCCAGTTGATTGCCTATCCTGGTAGCCTGTTGTGAACATAATTATAACTTCAGCGAAACTGACTCCTTACAATTGGTTGAGTGCATATGACTGAGTTTCTGTGAGATCCAGTAATCTCCCTGTTGCTTAGTCTTTTATCAAACAGTGTTGCAATCAATGAAATACAATTTCATAGTACTGTGCTATAGGAATGGACTTCAGTAAGAATTATTTAAAGACAACTACTGAAGTCTATAGCCATGACTTTTTTTTCCCTCTAAGGTCTCAGCCAGAAAACTGAAACCCACTCCACCACGGCCACGGAGCCTCCATGAAAGAATCTTAGAAGAAATCAAAGCAGAAAGAAAGCTGCGGCCCGTCTCACCAGAGGAGATTAGACGCAGCAGATTAGGTGAGTCTGATGCTTACTGCACTGCTGGTCTAGCCTCAGCCACTTGGAGCAGTGTCTCTATCCAGCTAACCCAGGGAAAAGTAGTGGCATAATGGTTTAGTGTTTAAGAGCAGTGTTTGTTCCTCTCTCACACACACACTTGCTCAAAGCTTATCCTTGAAACTCAAGAGAGTTAGGAAATTCTTTTCCCATATGATATTGAACTACATGAGAGCGTCATGTCCTAGTAGGAATTGCTCTGCCATTCTCTAGACTGTGGTTTTGGGAGAGCCCCTTTACCTCTCTGAGTGTTGATTTCTTGATTGGCAGAAGGGAGATAAAAATTCCTCTGTACTTTAATTATGGCTTCTGTGTAAGAATTAAATAGGATTGTGGTCAAAATACCTCATAAATTTTAATATGTATACAAAGCTATTATGTTTTAGAAATATGATATAATAGTTTTACTTCATGTTTCTGTTGTCTTAATGGTTTTAAAGATATAGTATTATGTGGAAAGCATCGATTGTTACCTGATAACCACCTAACTTATTCCCAAGCTTCCTTTATATTTATTTAATGTTTTTAATATGTACCATAAACACATATTGATTTTGATTTATAGAAAGAACATATTATAAAATGTTTGTAAACATTTTTGTTTATACAATTCTCCACCTATTTGTAAGATTAAAGATGCCCAAAGAATTCAGAGAAACTTCCTTTAGGAAAATAGATGATAGTGACATCTGAACAGTAGAGGAACCACACTCTCCTTGTTTTCTCCACTGATCTCTTTCCTGCCCTTTTAGACTCTGCTTGGTCCTTCAGATTTCTATTCTGGGCTCACCTCTCTCTGAGCAACTATACCCTTTTCCATAGTTTTTGTTCTGGCTAATAAAGCTCTCATCTGTGTACCGATCTCGCTGAGCTCACACCCAGTCATCCATCTGATGGTGAGCTAGGGCCTACAGCAGGACAGGGAACCCATCTGTTTTCTCCCAAACCATCTTCTCCTGTTTCCCCATCTTAGTGTGCTCAAGGCAGAACCTCCGCATCATCTCTGACTCCTATCTAACAGCCATCCCTGTTGATGTTTCTGATCCTGGATCATGTTAGTTTTCCCCCTTTGTTAGCCCAACATTATCCTAAACCAGTCTGTCGTCTTCTCTTGTCTAGTTTATCACATCAGCTTTGACCGCTGTCCTTGCTTCCAGCCTCGAGCTCTTCAGTAATGTCATGTTGGTATCCTTTTGTTAAACTCTTAGCCCTTCTTTTACCTTGAGACCTTCTTGCCAGCAGGGCCCACATCTTCCCTGTTCATTGTTTAGAAGTGATTCCATGGGTCCTGAAGTAATTTAATGTACCTTCCAGTTACAAATCTACTGAGTGAGTAACAGTTGTATCAGTTTATCCCTGTCTAATTTTTATGGCAGCAAGTGTTATCTCCAAAAAATAATGTTTAAAGCCTGCTAAGTGACATATCCATATAAGCATTTATGTAATAGTGATCTAAAACATAGAAGCCATGTGCAGCAAGAGTTCTTCTCCTGAGAGTCCTCGAATGGGCCTGATGAGAAACTGTGAGTCCCCAGAAATATAAAAAATGTATGCTTATTTCACAAACTCTATGTATGTGCATTTTTCTGGAGAGAGGGTCCATAGCTTTCCTTGGTTTCCTAAAGAGTACAAAGCCTCAAAGAGTAAGAACACTGTGGAAAAATAAGGAAGTGATATTATGGGATGCTAGCTTAAGACTGAATTTTTTAAATTACTTTTAATTTAAAAATTAAATTACCTTGAGAGGTAATTTAATTTGGTTACCTTGAGAGGAAACAATGGGGGTAAAAGACAAGATTTCAACAAAACCATGAGGCAAAATAAATATATTACCATGAGAAAAATAAGCTTCGTGATTTACAGTACAGAGTGATTAGGCTGAAAGATTGTCTGCTTCAGTGAAAGTACCCACAGAATAGAGAAAGGAGTTTACCATACCAACCTGAACACGCCAGATCTTGTCTGTTCTTGGACGCTAAGCAGGGTCGGGCCTGGTTAGTACTTGGAGGGGAGAATAGAGAAAAGAACAAGCTAAGCATAATGTTCTTATACAATGTGGATGATATTTAACTTATAGTTCCTTCACTTTTCCAATAGTTTTTGAACCTTTACTTTGTATTAAACATCATGTCATCTCCTGGGGTGCAGAGATGAACAAGGCATAAGGCCCGCCCGCAAATGCTTGCAGAAGAATGACGCGAGAATGTCATGCATGTTCATGCTGCAAGACCATTAACAGCACCCAATCAGAAGGCGTTAGTGAGGCCATTTGAGGGATAGACTGGCAGTCCCTGTAAGTGTCAAGGGGACACCCTCATTGCTTGAAAGGGTCATTGCAAGCCTTTGTCACATACATATTCTTCTGTTCCATTTTAAACAAACTAGATGCTAAATAACAGGAAACCCACTAGAGAATAATTAAGTATCAGAGGTGCCTGGGTGCTCAGTCGGTTAAGTGACCAACTCTTGGTCCCGATCTCATGGCTTCTAGGATGGAACCCCATGTCGGGCTCGGAGCTCAGCGTGGGAGTCTGCTGGATATTCTGTCCCTCTGCCCCTTCCCTCATTTGCACGCTGGCATGCTCTGTCTGTCTGTCTCTGTCACGCTCAAATAAATTTTTTTAAAAATAATTAAATATCAAATTTATGATGTGAGCATATCTTATTATTTTATTTTATTTTTTATTTTAACCTTATAAATGGTGTTTCACAATAATCAGAATTGAGCTGTTACAGAAAATGATTGTTCATTCTGTGAGAGTCTTACTTCTACAATTCTGCTTCCACACTGATCTTGAATCTTACCGGAAAGTAAGGGATTTGGGTTGGTTTCTGCAGATCTACATTGGTTCTTACTATACAGTTTCACTTTAGGAAGTTTGACTAGGATGAGGTTGGCAGAATGAACTTGAGGAGTTTTCCTAATATTTTTATAATGTTTCCCCTCCATGTAATTGATTGTGAGCAGAATCCCACTATAGAAATTGGGGAAATGTGTCAATGTTTAAAGAAGAAATGTTACCCATCCACTGTGAATCTACTTGTGCAGTATGAAACCGAGACGAGAACTGTATGCAGTATTCTGTTCTCTTCACTTAACATTGTGTGCGATGTGAACATCTTCCCATGTCATTAAATAGGGTATCCTGATATATGGCTAAATTCTGTTTTATTTCCCTATTGCTTGACAGACTTCACATTTTTTTCCCCATCAAGTCTGAAAATGCTGTTCTTGTGTATCAGTCTCTGTTCATGTCCAATCATTTTCTTTTTCCTAACATCTCATACTGAATTGAGATTTGGGGTTTTAAATATAAATTGTACCTTTAAAAAACATCTTTTCCATAAACTTCTTAATTCCTGTTATGCTTGATTTCTCTCCTCTTTGTGGCACATAGAGCTTGGAAAAGATCCACACCTCATCTTCCAAGAAATAAGAGCATCCCTTTCTTATGCAGTGACCAGTCGTATTTCAAAAGACAGATTCATGTATCAGAGAAGAACAGAATGAAAAGATATTAGAGAAGGGTGGCAAGTGCTTTGAGAATATTTATCTTTTATTTGCTATGTATAATTAGGAAAATCTGGAGTCAATAGTATGAATTCAGAAATGCAGGCCTTTTTTATGATTCACAGATATTTATTTGAAAACCTCACACTAATGCATGTATAAATACTATGATCAGATCAATCAGATTAGGGACAGAAGAAACTAGATATTTACTTCTGCAAGGGTTAATTGTGATATTCCTTCATATAAGTCTTAAAAATAATTATAAGTAATTATAATTAATGTTTAGATTTTTCTTTAGAAAAACATTAAAAAGTAATTTTATAGCACTTTTGTAAAGTCAGCATTTTGAGGTAGAACACTTATTTCTCCTGTTCAGTGAATATTAGTTAAATTTTGAAACCCTTTTCTGTTTGAAATTCATAATTTCTGCATCTAGAATATCTTGATCATTGAACTTCAAGTTTCTGCTATGAATTTTTTTTGTTAACATATAGTGTATTATTAGTTTCAGAGGTAGAGTTCAGTGATTCATCTGTCTTATATAACACCCACTCTCATTATATCACATGCTCTCCTTAATGTTCATCACCTGGATACTCCATCCCTCCAACCCCCTCCCCTCCCGCAACCCTGTTTGTTTCCTATAATTAAGAGTCTCTTATGGTTGTCTCCCTCTCTGATTTCATCTTGTTTTATTTTTTCCCTCCCTTCCCCTATGCTCCGTTTTATTTCTTAAATTCCACATATGAGTGAGATATGATAATTGTCTTTCTCTGATTGACTTATTTCGTTCAACATAATACTGTCTAGTTCTGTCCACATTGTTGCAAAGGCAAGATTCCTTTTTTTTTTTTTATGGTGGAGTAGTATTCCAGTGTGTGTGTGTGTGTGTGTGTGTGTGTGTGTGTGTATCTCACATCTTTATCCCCTCATCTATCAGTGGACATCTGGCTCTTTCCATAGTTTGGCTATTGTGGGCATTTCTGCTATAAACATTGGGGTGTAGGTTCCCCCTTCAGATCACTACATTTGTATCTTTGGGATAAATACCTAGTAGTCCAATTGCTGGGTCATAGGGTAACTATGTTTTCAACTTTTTGAGGAACCTCTATACTGTTTTCCAGAGTGGCTGCACCAGCTTGCATTCCCACCAACAGTGTAGGAGGGTTCCCCTTTCTCCACATCCTTGCCAACCTCTGTCATTTCCTGACTTGTTAATTTTAGCCATTCTGACTGGTGTGAAGTGATATCTCATTGTGGTTTTGATTTGTATTTCCCAGATGCCAATGTTGAGCACTTTTTCATGTGTCTGTTGGCCATTTGATTTGTATGTCCTCTTTGGAGAAATGTCTGTCATGTCTTCTGCCCATTTCCTGATTGGATTTTTAAAAAATATTTTATCTATTTGATAGAAAGAGATGAGCAGGGTGTAGGGGGAGAGGAAGAGGGAGAAGCAGACTCCTCTCTGAGCAGGGAGCCCAAGGCGGGACACTGAGATCATGACCCAAACCGAAGGCAGGCACTTAACCAACTGAGGCACCCAGGCGCCCTGCCTGATTGGACTATTTGTTATTTGGGTGTTGAGTTTGATAAGTTCTTTACAGGTTTTGGATATTAGCCCTTTATCTGATTACACATTGGCAAATATCTTCTCCCATTCCACTGGTTGTCTTTTGTTTTTGTCCACTATTTCCTTTGCTGTACAAAAGCTTTTTCTCTTGATGAAGGCCCAATAATTCATTTTTGCCTTTGTTTCCCTTGTCTTTGGAGACATGTCTAGCAAGAAGTTGCAGGCCAAGGTCACAGAGGTTGCTGCCTGTGTTCTTCTCAAGGATTTTGATGGATTCCTGTCTCACATTTAACTCTTTCATCCATTTTTAGTCTATTTTTGTGTGTGGTGTAAGAAAATGGCCCAGTTTCATTCTTCTGCATGTGGCTGTCCAGTTTTCCCAAAACCATTTGTTAAAGAGACCATCTCTTTTCCATTGGACATTCTTTCCTGCTTTGTTGAGGATGAGTTGACCATAGAGTTGAGTGTCCATTTCTGAGTTCTGTATTCTGTTCCACTGATTTATGTGTCTGCTTCTGTGCCAGTACCATGCTGTCTTAATGATCACAGCTTTATAATAGAGCTTGAACTTCAGGATTGTGCTGCCAACAGCTTTGTTTTTCTTTTTCAACATTCCATTGGCTCTTCAGGGTCTTTTCTGGCTCCATACAAATTTTAGGATTATTTGTTCCAGTTCTGTGAAGAAAGTTGATAGGGATTGCACTGAATGTATAGATTCCTGTAGGCAGAATAGACATTTTAACAATATTTGTTCTTCCAATCCTTGAGCATTTATTCCTAGGTATCTTATGGGTTTTGGTGCAATTGTAAATGGGATCCTTTATTTTTCTTTCTTCTCTCTCGTTGTTAGTGTATAGGAATGCAACTGATGTCTGTGCATTGATTTTATATCCTGTGACTTTGCTGAATTCCTGTATGAGTTCTAGCAATTTTGGGGTGGAGTCTTTTGGGTTTTCCACATAGAGTATCATGTCATCTGTGATGACTGAGAATTTGACTTCTTTGCTGATTCGGATGCCTTTTACAGAAATGCAGATTTTTTTAAATAGGTAGGTTTTTTTAATTCAAGTAGAGTTAACCTACACTGTTATATTAGTTTCAGGTGTACATATAATGATTCAGTTTTATACATTTCTCAGTGCTCATTAGGTTAAATGTACTCTTTGTCCCCTTTACCTATTTTACCCATCCCCTCACCCACCTGCCCTCTGGTAACCACCAGGATATTTTTTCTTTGTCTCTTTTTCCTTTGTTCGTTTGTTTAGTTTCTTAAATTCCAAATAAGGTATTTGTCTTTCTCTAACCGACATATTTCACTTAACGTCATATCCTTTAAATCCATCCATGTTGTGGCAAATGGTAAGATTTCATTCTTTTTTATGGCTGAACAATATTCCATTGTGTGGCTGTATATACACAAACACACACATCTTCTTTCTTTACTTCTTCTTTATCCATTCCACATCTTCTTTATCCATTCATCAGTTGATGGACGCTTGGGCTGCTTCCATTTCTTGGCAATTGTAAATAATGCTGCAGTAAACATAGAGGAGCATATATCTTTTCAAATTAGTGTTTTCATTTTCTTTGGATAAATACCCAGTGGTAGAATTACTGGATCATATGGTAATTCTATTTTTAATTTTTTGAGGAACCTGCATACAGTTTTCTATAGTAGCTGCAACAGTTTACATTCCCACCACCAGTGCACAAGCGTTCTTTTTTCTCCACATCCTTGCCAACACTTGTTGTTTCTTATATTTTTATTTTAGCCATTCTGACAGGTGTGAAGTGATATCTCATTGTGGGTTTGATTTGCATTTCCCTGATAATGAGTGATGGTAAGCATCTTTTCATGTGTCTGTTGGCCTTACAATATCCCCATTGTATCTGAGGTTCTGTCATCTTCTGATCGTAAAGGTGCCTGTCCTACCTCAGCCCAGGTCATAGAATAGATGGTACTGATAAAACTTTTGGGCTGCCCTGGGGCAAATAATATATCATATGTTAATAAAATTAATAATAAAATTGGGATCACATTTGCATTTATAAAACGAAGTTGGAGAATTGCCATCCAAAGTTTATGAATTTGGCTAATCTTATCCTATAACAGGATATGTCTTTTCTTTTGTTCAAGTCTACTTTTCTGTTTTTCAAAAATGTATTAAAATTTTCCTCATTAAAAAAAAAAAAGAATTTTGGGCTGCAGCGAAAATAGTTAACTTCACTGTCATGAATACCCAAATTAATCAAATCTTTGTAGTAAGCTTTTTCAAAATTACCTTTTTTGGGGCATAATTTATCTACCATAAAATTCACCCATATAAACTATACAATTCAGTGGTTTTAAGCATATGTAATAAAAATTTTAGGACTAATTATTTCAATAGGAAATAAATAAGTTTGTTTTTAAGAAACCATATTTATTGAACTTCTACTATGTGTGAAGCAGTGTTTGCTATGTGCAAGCACCTTTTTTTGGTAGGGTCATTTAATCTTCATTAACAATCTCATGAGATAAATACCATTCTTCCCATTTTACAGATTAAGTAACTGAAGCATAGAGAGGTTAAGTAACTTTCCCAGAATCACACTGCTAGTAAGTGGCAGAGCTGAGATTCAAACTTGGACATTCGGGCTCCTGGGGCCCCTCTGCAGCTGCTAGGTTGCATTGCCTGCAATTGGCAGTATAGTGATGCATTGTGAAACTAGTTCCAAAAGGAGATTTTTTATCAAGTATTTCACCTTGGGCAGAGATTTTGGTCAGATTTTCATCCTGAAATAAATTACTTAAGAACACATTTATTCTTAAATTTAAAAAATTTTGTACCCTAAAATCATGTTATATTTAAGCCAAAATCCTGTATTATGTTTCTTTAAAATGTTTTGTATCTGTATCATGCTGTCATTCTTAACATGTTCTTTAAAAAGTTGTTATTTTTTTTCTTTTATTGTTACTCCATTTCAAGTCTTAGTGATATAATTGAAACTAAGATTCATGGTTTTGTTGTGTTCCCAATTTTTATTCGCTACCTTCTGCCTTAAAGTCTGAAATGTGCCATTATGGTCTTCTTGAATCCTCCTCCCTTTTTTGTCCTCCCTATATATTCCTAATAGCTGAATTATTTTCTTTTTATTGTTTGTTTTCTTTTTTCAGCAATGCGGCCACTTAGCATGTCTTACAGTTTTGACTTGTCAGGTAAAACAAACAAAAAAAAAAGCTCTTTCACACCTGACGTGGGTTTTGTGGTTTCTGTGAAAACATTTCATTCATCTGCTTGTCCAAACATGTCAAAGAAGAAAATTGAAAGGCTTCTTCTAAGCTGTGGTCAGTAAGATAAAACATTCTGCTTATTTGAGAACGATGTGCTTAAAAAAATTAAAACAATAATAAATCTGTTGCCTAGGAGGGATTATAGAATTATTATGCCATCCCTGTGGTTATGGAATTTGACTGCCCATCCTTACCATCACTTTTTCTCACCCACACTCTTCTTCTTCTTCCCCCCAACTTTTTTTTTTTTAAGATTTTATTTATTTATTTGAGAGAGAGAGAAATCACAAGCAGGGGATGGGGCAGAGGGAGAAGCAAACTCCCGGCTGAGCAGGGAGCCCAGTGCAGGACTCCATCCCAGGATGCTGGGATCATGACCTGAGCTGAAGCCAGATGTTTAACCTACTGAGCCACCCAGGTGCTCCCTCACCCACACTCTAATAAAGCAGTGATGTCAAAATCTAAAACAGAGCTTTGCCTTAAGAGAATAGAAACAAATTTCAAGAAACAAAGTTTTGACACTTAATCTCTTAAGCATTCAGATATTTAAGTAATTAGAGTCAAAGCTGTCAGCTGCTTCTGAGGATCACCGTTCCTCAATTGGTAGGCAGGAGCTGTCTTTGGTGTCCCAGCGCTCCCTCTGGATAGATCCTGGTCATGAATGCTTCTGAGCGCTATTTGAGAGTATAAAAATACAGATATGTTCTAATGGCTTTGGTTGTAAAATACAGTTGACCCTGAACAACATGGATTTGAACTGCTCAGGTCCCCTTATAGGAATTTTTTTTAATTTAAGAGTTGACGGCAAAAGCTACACATTTATTTACAACTGTCCACCCCAGTCTTCATCGGACTAAATGGAAGGCAACTAACCTGCTGCCCTCCGAGGACCCATGACGGCCCAGGGAGGCCTGTTGAAGTTGTCAGCAGCTCCCAGGGACCCAAGACTGAAGAGCACTGCAGGTTGACCCCTGTTGCCGACAGGGTGGTCTACACCCAGGGCTGGTGGACAGGATGCTGAGCTGAAGCAAGGCATGTCCCAGAGAGCAGGATGGTGCTGCACAGGGAGCCCACACACCCATCACCCCTGCTCCCTAGTCCTCCATGCACGGAGCTCAGGGGCTGTGCGGGCTGCTGCTGGCCTGGGGCCACCCCTACCAACCATGGACTCCACCCCTCCCACTCATGGGTGGCCGCCCTTGCAGGCCAATGGGGCAGCTGTACTGCATACCCAGGCCATTGTGGCTGCCTGCCCACCAGGCAGCTGACTCTTCCAAGGCCCCCAGGCTGCAAAATATCACATTCATCATGGTACGAGGCCCACTGCTGCCTCCAGCCTGGCCTGACCTGCCTACACAGATTTTTTTCAGTAAACGTGCCTAGAGGACTGTGAATGCATTTTCTCTTCCTTATGAGTTTCTTAATATTTTCTTTTCTCTAAAAATGTTTTTCTCTAGCTTTACTTTAAGATTACAGAATACACACACACACACACACACACACACACGATACATATAACATACAAAATATGCATCAGTTGAATGTTTATATTATCAGTAGAGTTTCCAGTCAACAGTAGGCTTAATTAGTAGTTAAGTTTTTGGAGAGTCAAAAGTTATTTGCAGATTTTTGACTGGGGTGGAAGTCTGTACCCCTAACTCCTGCCTGACCTTGTTCAAGGATCAACTGTATAATTAGTGTGTTCTGGGTTTATAGTACAAGTTTAGATCCCTTCTGTTAAATGGACAGCGATTAATAGTGAAACATAACCATTAATGACTAAGTTTGATCTCTAATATCAGTCTCTTTTTAAATGGAGCTTTTATATATGAGTGAATTTTCAAAGCCAACTTAATTCAAATAAAATATTTTGGAAGTTAGAATTTTTCATTTTGGAAGCTGGGTTTTTGTTTTTGTTTTTTTTTAAGATTTTATTTATTTGAGAGAAAGTGCAAGCATGAGCAGGGGCGGGGCAGAGGTAGAGGTAGAGGCAGGCTTCTGGCTGAGCAGGGAGCCAGATGTGGGGCTCTATATGGGGCTTGATCCCAAGACACTAGGATCATGATCTGAGCCAAAGGCAGACTCCAACTGAGCCACCCAGGTGCCCCTGGAAATTGTTGTTTTGAATGTAAAATGAGATAAAATGTTGACACTAATATTTTCTTCCAGTTTTCTTTCATATGCCCTGAAATTTTTGACATAGCTTATATACAAATTCGTATTTAAAGAGCCAAATAGTTCTTGTATCCTATTCTGTTTATGAAAATTTACTGAGCACCTTCCCATTGCTAACTAGTTCCCAACTGTTTTTAAATTTCTGTTTATATTTGCAGGTCTCAGGTATCACTGGCACTTGTGCTTTTAAAAAACTCAGATAAATATTTTACAATATTCGCTTACTACTTTTGACTGACCACTGAAGAGCTTTTTCTATTTTCTTTATCCATTTGAAAATTTTTATTTTACAACCATTTGCAGAGTAAATGTTGTAAAAAAAGAAAAAGAAAAACCTTACCAAAATGTTCTGGAAAATAAACTCAGAAATGTTTTGGTACATATTTGTTACTGATAATCTCCAGAGGTTGGCAGTGTATATTTTAAAAACTGTGTCTTTTTCTGGAGATGTTTCCATCAGTTGGACTACAAGGGAAGTGGCTGGCTATCTAAACACATTGACTGTTGTCTAACATAAATTAAGTGCAGGTGGCTGATCTGGACAGTTTGCATGCCCGCACACACAATATATATAAGTGCATTTTTGTTCTTATAAGTTATATGGTGGCTTCTCATTTGGGAGGAAAGTTCCTAACCTCCATGATATAGAAGAGTAGCAAAAAATTGTATTGGCTTTCAACTGCTTTTCGTTTGCTACTTTCAGTGCACTTCATGATTTCCACATGCTTCATTCTCAATTTCTTGTGCTAGCTATTTTTATGTTTTCATTGTTGTATTTTTACTAATGAATTAAAATATCCCAAATAATAAATGGAAAAAATTGATCCATTCTTTTAACCTAAATAAAAAGATTGGAATACAATTCTTCTCGAAGCTGGGAAATTAACACACTAAGGAGCAAGTATTTAAATGTGTAGTATAGATAATGCCTCTGAACTTAAATATAGAATAAGACATAATGAAGTATATTCTGCTGCTTAAGTATGTCTTATGAATGCCTAGTGGAAAATCTTAACAATCCATTCAACTTTAAGGTAAGTATAATTTATTTTTTCAGTGTAAACAATAAATATGTAATCTCTATCACAGTCATATTTCCTCCAAGCAGTTGGGTGAATCTAACATATATAAAGATATTACAAAAAGTATTTAATATCATGGTTATGCATTTTAGATTGAACCTGAGGTATGTGACTTCTGAAGCCGTATCTAGCATCTTAAATGTTTTTGCTTATTTATAAATATCACCAGTTTTTTCTCAAGACATTCCATCTTACATAGAAGTATAAAGTCTTAGTCAAATCCTTGGTTTTTTCACTTGATACATTGAAGTAATAATAAGGATTTCTTCATTGGAACAGAAATTTATTAGTAATCAAACTACTTAAAAATTTCTCTTAAAGATATGTTCCACTGAGTCTTTTACAAATATATAGTATGAGGTAAAAACACACACAATATTTAGTCTTAAATGTGGAGATCATCCTGAAACCTCTTACATAATTTTTTTATCAACGCCATTTATCTCAAAGCTTTGAATTCAGTACAAGGTTATTATTTCAGTCAAAGAGTTCAGTTTTAGTCAATGAGCTCAAACACAATTATCAACTTCATAGTAGTGTTCGGACAAGTAGAGAGCTATTGGGTCATTTCTCAGATCTCCTGCACTGAGAATGAAATGAACTCACGACAGCCGCAGTCACTCAGCAGTATTCCCTAAACTTTAGGTCAGATTTTTGCCAGGCTTTAAGTACCTCCAGCATTATTTAAATTATTTTAATATACTATCAATGACCTTTTATTTAAAAATTTTCTTAAGGAAAAACATCCATAAAGCCACACATCTGATATAATTTTTTCTGAAGCATTAAATATATAACCATTAAAACTTTCAGTATTCCTCCATGCACTACTAGTGTTCTCAGCCATAGCGAAGCTCTTGGAGGAATGGAAACGTGAGACCCACCTCGGAAAGCCGATGGTTTCCCTTCTTGTGGTACCTGCAGTGTGGGCAACTGGACTGGAATCTGGGCAGCTAAGAGGAGACAAAGATGTGTGTGTTTTAACTGTATGCTTTCTCTTGAAAGCCTAACACCTGCAACAACATGAGCAATTCTATATAGGAAGTGTATAAAATAAGATAAGAATAGAATAAGATCTTTTAAAATATGCTTCAATACTGTATTTGAACACTACCTTTTTTCTTGAATAGAAATTAATCAGTTAGCCTAATCTTTTCCTTCTTTGCTTTCTGGAGAACTTCTCAATTATTCTGTGAAGTGTGGCAGCCTACTGCTCTCTACACCCCCCTAAAAAAGATTTATTTAAAGCTTTTAACCTTTAAATTTGTGTAAAAAATTGCTGCTTTTGCCCTTTAGTCCCCCTCAGCACAGCCTCTCCCCCAGTTATGTTTTTGTTATAGCTGCTTAACATCTGGAAGGGTAATAAGAAAAGTAACACGTCTTGTCAAATTTTTTATGAAAATTTCTGTGTTAAATAAATGATTGACAGATCTGCCCGTCTTCCTTTTTTTCCTTTCCTCCCTCCTTCCTTGCTTACTCAGACCCTTTCTTCTCATTCACAAGGGCATGTGCTCTGACCTTCTTGATCTCTAAAAGTAGCAAAAAGTATAAATATTAAACTAGATGAATATCATTTATAATAATTTACGTGGTTATTTTAATAATGTCAAGTAAGGCTATACTAGAACATGCTTATTCACTGAATGTTTCCTGGAAATCCACCGCTTATACTGCAAACGTATAAAAATTGTATGTTGGGAGGGAAATTGCTGTATTTTACAGTAACTGCAGTTATAGTGCTTTCCTTCCCTCCCTCCTGTCTTATTTCACTTTCATGCTTAGTGTACCCTTTACTTTCAACCACAGGAGTTTCACAGACTGTTCCATGTGCAAAGATCAGTTTCATGTTGTTGTTCTGTAAATTAAATTATGCAGTGACTACTTTTTTTTACTTTTTTTTCGCTTTTAATTGCTCTAATTTAATTTAAATTTAATTTAATTTAAACTTTGTGTTTGACACATCATTTGAAATACTGGAGAAAATTGATTCCACTTGCATTGAAAGAGTGAGTACAGGATACAAAGGCAAAAAGGTGGCCTTTAGGATCAATACAAAGAATCAAGTATCAGCTGCCCCACACGCTAGCTGGGTGACTGGCTGAGTCTCCCTGAGCCTCGATTTACTTACAAATGGAGGTAAAAATCAGTGTCCGTAATTGCCAACGTTTATTGTGTGTTACCTTTAGTACACACAGTATTGAGTAAGTATTTTATATGCACTTGTTCATTTCATCTTCAAAAGGAGCCCATGTCTGTTGTTAGGCCCATTTTACAGATGATGATGAAACAAGAGGTTAGGCAATTTGCTCATGGTCAGACAGGTAGCAGCAGAGCTAGACTTTGAAACCAAATCATCTGCATCTTACATTATAGTAAGGTATACTCTGTACTCTATATACTCCGTACTTTCTATTCTGTGCTGTGTGCTCTAAACTCTATAACCTGTTCCCTGTACTATGTACCCAATACTCTTCTTCTGTATTCTGTACTCTATGCTTTGAACTCTCTAGTCTGTACTCTGTACTATATATTCTGTACTCTGTACTCTATATGTAGTCTGTACACTGTTCTGTATACTCTATGCCCTGTACTGTGTGCCCGCTATATACTGCATTCTGTGTATACTCTATACCGCTTACTGTACACACTCTGTGTGTTCTGTGATCTGTACTCTATACTCTGTGCTCTAGTCTCTAGTCTATATTCTATACAGTATACACTATGTGTACTCCCTGTACTACTGTATTCTCTGTACTCCCCTCTGTACTACATACTCTAGATTATATACTATGGCCTTTAATGTTTTCTTATCACATGCAACATCCGCACTTGTTACGTCTATAGATGATTTGTGACTTGGACGTAAAAACCAAGCCATATTTATTTATATTATGTTTTCAATCGAAAGAACATGGATACTTTTGTCCTGTACAAGAAGCTATAACTTATACTGATTGCATTGGCCTCCCGTGGTTTGGATAGATTTTTTGCGTGGCTGTCATTCTTTCCTAATGGATGCAGTCCTGTGATGCTTCTAAGCCTGTTCACGAGTATGTATTGAGTGTCTTCTTTGCCTGTATACTTCCATCCTTAGGTATTTCTAATGTTTATTTCTCCCTATAAACTTCCATACATAGCTATGCACTATGAAAAATTAAATTGAATGAATAATATGCATATTCAAAATAAATTCCTTCAATTACAAAAAATATACTCTGACCTATACTCTGTACTGTATGCTATATCCTGTATATTCCGTAGTCTGTCCTGTGTGCTCTGTGTACCTTGTGCACTATACTCTCTATACTCTGTGCTGTATGACATATTCTATAGACCCCATGCTCTGTACTCATACATTGCGTAGTCTGGGCTCTGGGCTCTGGGCTCTGCATACTCTGTACTCTGCTGCCACATTTCTTTGATCTCTTGTATTGCCTTCGCACCCAGATCTGAGTTCTGGATCATCTAAATCAGCTTTATCAAAGCAAATGTATCCCAGGTTCTTTGTGTTCATATTTATATAACTATAGATTATTCACGATTTTGATTTTTAAATTAGACCATTCTCAAATCTTAAAGTCATATACCTGCTATGGCTTTGCGCATGCCACCACTTTGGTCCATCCGTCACTAGCTCTTTGGAGGCTATAAAGTGAAACTAGCCTCTCCGGGTCTCTGCAAGATTAAGAAGTTATAGTCAGTTATCTGGATTCCTTCCAGCTCTAAATTCTAGTGTATAAATGTGAATCTAGTATTCATGTAAATGTTCTCTTTAACCTGACAGTTAATATCTAACAAAAATGTTTTATATACCTAGGCATTATTATATCAAGCCTCTGTGTTATATTTGTGTGACATGGAAATGCCATGTCACCTGGCTTGTGTGGTTTGTGCTTCCAAGTGCAGGTACTTAGGAAAGTGCATTTGGTCTACTGATTACCTTTCTTAGCTTGAGAAAAGGTAAACTTTTGCCTTTCTTTTACCAGATGTAACTACCCCTGAATCTCCAAAGAATGCTGCGGAATCATCGATGGTGAATGGAGGTTTAACATCACAAACGAAAGAAAATGGGTTGAGTGCGGCACAGCACATGCCTTTGCAGCGGAAGAAACTCCTTAAAGCCCCAACCCTGGCTGAGCTGGACAGCTCTGACTCCGAGGTGAGTCCCATGACTGCCTGGTTCACACCTCTTAACTCCAAGTTCAGAGTGCAAGCCCTCTCTGACCTCGTTTACTAGCCATGTGGCCTTGGTTGTTGCTTAATCTCTTCCCATCTTTCAATCAATAAAGTTGGGATTGAAATTCATTTGTTTAGCAGGAAATGAAACAGTGGGTTACTTACTATTTTTCGGGAAAGACCAGTACAGTGGTCCTAGTTGATAGAATAAGTTCAAAAATATTTGTATGGTCTTAGATTACGGTACTAAAAATAAGTTTAAAAAATGCAAACGTATAATCTTTAGGATATTTCCCTTTGTTTTGGGGAAGGAAAAAGAAAAATATTTTTCCATGGGTTCTTCTCTCTCTCACACACACACCTACCCATAGTGAAGCTTGTTCTTTCGGTAATAGAAATACCTGTGGATGTGTCTGCAAAAGAAAACTCTGCTAGGCTTCTCCAGATTTCATCTTTCCCCTGCTGCCCTTTGGAGGAAAATCTCGCACGTCCTGTCTGTTTTCCAGAAACTCTCAGGGTGCTGGTGCTTCCCAAGTCTCTCTCCAGCCCTTTGTCTACAGCATCAGTATTGTGTATCTCCACTGTGTAAAATGAAATTACATCCTTCCCTCCCTCTTCCCTCAGGGCCTGCCAGACACAATAAACACACACAGCCAGCCTCCCGGCTTCTGTTTGTTGTCGTGGTTGCTGGCTCCATCCACTTCATATTCATCCAAGTTAGAATTAAGGAATTATTCTTTAATCACCCAGACTGGTTTCTGAGATGATTCTGGTCTGGCAGCCTTCAGTACCACCCTTGGAGCGAAGCAGCAGTGAAGGAGCAGTAGGAGTTCCGGAAGTGACCTTGTTCCAACAAGGACCTGGTTAAGAGTCACTGGTCGGGATGTAGAACTAGAAAAGGCCTAGTTTAGTGAGTGTCAGAGACTAGTAACTGGATCAGACAATACAAACAAGCAAGTTTCAGAGAGCAGGCCTGGCAGTCGTTTGAGAGATCAGAGACCATCAGGATCCCCCAGCCAGGCCAAAAGTGTTTAGTCGAGGGAATGGACGTGACAGGGCAAGCAGAGTAAGCGTCCACACCCACTGACTTTTCTCTGAGGAGATCTGACCTCCCAAGTCCCCGGTACCTTCTGAGTGTCTTTGTGATTCCCCTGGGCCAGGAACTGAGCCTAACGAAGACTAGTTTTCAAGTAGTGAGAAGTTGGGTGCAGCTGCCTGTAGTGGGCATGCGGGGGCAGAGGACCCCCAACTGCTTCTGGGAGCAAATCCCAAAGGCCTTGCACCGTGCCAGTGTCCTCACCACTTCTCTGTCTCTTACTAACTAACTTGCACTCACCCGGCGGCCCCAGGATGGGCTCTTCATTGTTCACAGTGGGAGCAAGTCAGAACAGTAAAGAGGAATGGTGTGGAACATGTAGACAAGCTCAGAATTCTGTAAAATTGGGCTTTAAAAATGTTTCTGGGGAAGGTGGGCTGAGGTATGTGAGGTGGTGTGTGGTGGTTTCTGCTGTTAAAATCAAGGTGGCACCCACCTCATAATTTTTTGGGACTACTGTGTATGGCTCCTTTTTCTTTTCCTAAGAGATACTCTTGGCTTTTATTTCCTTTTGGCCTTCCATAGGCAGAAGGAAGGCGTTCTAGTTGCGCACTAGCTCTTCTGGAGATTTGTGTGACCTCTACACCGTGTTCAGGGTTGGGGCTTTGGTTACATTGCTTGATTTATTCTTCATGGTATGTACCAGGAGTGGGGAGGTCACTGTTCAGACCTTCTTTGTTGGAACTGTGTGGTTTACAGCCTTTTTTCATGTCCTGTCCTTTGACCAGATCCTTTGTGTGGTAGCTTGCGTGAAACCAGTGCTTTTAGCAGTAGGTTTTAGGTAAGGCCATTTTTTGTGAATGGCTAAGTTAGTTCTCAAAGTCGCCTTAAATAAGTAGGTCAGAGAGAATTTTCATGATTTCTCTCACATAGTCATAGGCGAATATCTTAAAATAATTTTCTTTCTTCCACTTTTAAAAATATTTAGCAATTTTCTATAGATATTATGGACATACGTTTTCATGTGGTTCATGTATATCCTCAATCACACGGTAGATAATAAATTTTTCTTGAGTAAGTAGTGTAGTTCATCTGGGTATAATCTGAAACAAATTATGGTCTCATCTGATTGGTAATAGAAATTTAAAATTTATTTTGCATAATGTAGACATTTTTCTAGATTCATACAATATTTTATGAAATGTTTATTTTCATCTATTCAACAAACACTAATATTTATTCATCACTTACTAACAGTAGGTTTGTTGCTGACAACAATGAATGAGGCCCATAGCATCTACCTTCATGCAGTTTACCAATCTATTACTTTTATAAATGTGTTAAATATTTCTCTAATAATGATAATAACCACCATTTACTATGTGCCTGGTAATGTGTTAAGCATTTTTGAGCATATTTTATCATCTGATCCAATAATACAGTGTAAAGATGGTATTAAACACCAGATGATGAAAGATGAGAAACTTGTTGTATCACATCAATCTAATGAGGGACAAATCCAGAACACAAACCCAGGCTTGTCTAATTTTAGATACCTTCTATGTCTTCTAGTTGCCTTGAACCTTTGACATAATTTGGTGCCTCACACTGAAATAAATCTGTAGTAGTAAAATTTATTAGCATGAAAGCACTAATGTCTTAGGAGTCTATTTCTCTGTCCCCACCTTTCTCAGGAGGAAACTCTACACAAGTCAACCAGCAGCAGCAGTGTGTCTCCCTCCTTCCTTGAAGATCCCTTAGTAGAGGCTGTGTCCACAAGGAAGAGTGAGTATTTGTGGTACAAAGAGCTAGCGTCAGATTCCTTCAAAAACACACTGGACCAAGACTAGGGAGTCCCTAAGTGCTTTGTGATCATTTAGCATAGAAAACTAACCCTGGAATTTTCCCTAATCAGGAGCAGAAATATTGATATATTCCTAAAGTGACATGATGAGGTAGGGCTGAACTGATAACTGGGCCTCAGGTTCTTATAACAGATCATTCACCTTCAGGTTTAGAGATAATAGTTGTAGGGAATAAATCAACTGTCTGTATTTTTTAGATTAATTTACCTTCTTGTCTGAATTTAAGCTGGGAGCCCTAAATAATCACATTTTTTATCATTCCCAGGCCCACACACATATACACATATCCATACCCACATACATTTATGGATAGTAAAAATGCCTTTATAACTCTCATAGGTTCTGAACACAGATCTAAAGTTAAGTGATTTCTAGATGCTTTTTAAAAAAATATTTATTTATTTATTTATTTATTTATTAGAGAGATTGAGAGAGAGAGAGAAAGAGAGCTTGAATGGGAGAAGGTGCGGAGGGAAGGAATCTTAAGCAGACTCTGCACCAAGTGTGGAGACTGATGCAGGGCTTGATCCCATGACCCCAAGATCACAACCTATCTGAAATCAAGAGTTGGATACCCAACCAAATGAGCCATCCAGGCACCACATTTCTAAATGTTTTTAATAATCTTTTTGTGTATAAAATCATTATAAAAGATTTAAGAAATTACAACATTAAGGGAGAGGATTCTGGAAAGATGGTGGAATAAGGAGCACCAGGAATCTGTCTCCCACCTGGACAACAGCTGTACTGGCAGAATTTGTCTGATGTAAGTCCTTTGGAACTCTGAGTTTGTTGAAGGCTTGCAACTTCCAGAGGAAGATTTAGGTGGAAAATTGTGGTTAATTTCAGTCACTTTTAGCTCTTAGCACAATGGGAGCTACTCATGCCCCACGCCAGCCACAAGGCAGGTAGCAACATACTGTTCCTGAAACAGCTTGCACATAGCTTCCAGGAGCTAGGGTGGGCAAAAAGGACCCTGTCCTCCAAATATTGGGAATCTGTCCTCTGCTACATCGGAATCCAAAGGTGTAGACAAAGAAGCAGTGATTATTGTTGCTTTGTCACAAGCTCCCTGCATGCTAAAGTGACTTCCAGGGGACCTAAAGGGCTAGCCTCCTTACCCACCTCCTTCATTCTTAGCTTTTTCCCTTTGGGGAGCCAGACATTAAACTAAGATATTCCAAAACTACATATACAGAGAATTATAAAATGACAGTGCATGCCCAGGAAATGGCTCATAAAAGACCTGACAGGATCTTAAGTTTACATCTCAGGCTGATGGTCAGCACAGAGACAGCCTATAACAATCAAGAAAACAATAAACAAAAACCTTAACAAAAAGCAGAAGACCCTGGGAAAGGGACAGAATCTGATTCCCAGAGTTACCACATTATTAGATTCAAATGTCCAGTATTCAGCAACAACAACAAAAAATCACAAGTCATACAGAGAAACAGGAAGGTATGGTCCATTCAGATTAAAGAAAGAAATCACCAGAAACTGTCCCAGAAAAAGAAGGGGATATACCAAAGACTTTTAAAAAACTGCTTTAAAATGCTCAAAAGACTAAAAGAAGATATGGAGAAGCCAAGAATACAATATGTGAGCAAAAATGGAAAGATAAATAAAGAGCTGGAAAACCTAAAGTGAAACAAACAAACAAAAAATTCTGGAGCCAAAAATTCCAATAACTTAAGTGAAAAATTCACTAGAAGATTCAATGGCAGATTTGAACAGGCAGAAGAAAGAATCAGCAAATTTGGAAATAGGACAAAGGATGGTGTCAAGCCTGAGGAACAAAAAGAAAAAAGACTGAAGAAAAGCAAACAGAGACTGAGAGACTTGTGGGACACTGTCAAGTGGACCAAGATATGCACTAGGGGAGTCCCCAAAGGAGATGAGAGAAAGAAAGGGGCAAAAGAAATAATTGCAGAAATAATGGCTAAGACTCCCCGAATTTGAGGAATTACATGAATATAAACATTCAGACAGCCCAGCTAAAATGAGAGAGACCCACACCAAGACATACTATAATCAAACTTTTAAAAGCCAAAGACAGAGTGACAAGAGAGAAATGAGTCACTATATATAAGAGATTCTCTAAGATCTTCAGTATATTTCTCATCAGAAACTTTGGTGGCCAGAAGATAGTTGGCCAATACAGCTTTCCACCCCACTCTCTGAAAGTTTGCTTTATACCACTTCACTTTTTATGAAGGACCAACGTTAGTATCTGTTTTAGCTAACTGAAAGAAATCCAAAGAAGATTTTTCACTTTTATAAAATGCTTCAATTGTTTTTTTAGTTTATACACTTTCAGCTTACAAAAGGTTTCACAGGAATGCTCTATTTTCAGAGAGTGGGGGAGATCTGTATATACAGAGTGCTTAAAGAAAAAAGTCAACCAACAGTCTTATATCCAGCAAAGTGAGGGAGAAATGAAGACATTCCCAGATAAACAAAAGCTGAGGGAGTTCATAACCACTAGATGCTTCCCAGTGGAAAATGCTCAGAAGTCCTCCAGGGGAAATGGAAGGACACTAGCCAATAATTCAAAGCCATAGGAGAAATAAAAGATCTCAGTAAAATACATGGGCAATTATAAAAGCTAATAGTATTGTAACAATGGTTTGTAACTGCACTTTTTGTTTGCTACATAATTTGAGAGACTAAGGCACTTGAAAGAATTATTAGTCTATATTTTGGGGAAGACAGTGTATAAAAATGTAATTTTGTTACCTCCAAAAAGGATGGATACAGAGCTTTAGAAGAGCAGAGTTTTTGTGTATTATTGAAATTAAGCTGCTAGGAATCCAAATCGGAGTGTTACAATTTTAGGATGTTAAATGTAGTTTCCATGGTAACCACCAAGAAAATAGTTACAGTATATACACAAAAGGAAAATGGGAAAGCAATTTAAACATTTCACTATTTAAAAAAATCAATTTAACATGAAAGACAAGAGTGAAGGAAAAGAGGGACAAAAGCTCTAAGGCATATGGGAAACAAATAGCACAGTGACAAAAGTCCCTCCTGATCAGTAATTACTATAAATGTAAGTGAATTGAACTCTATAATCAAAAGCTGGAGATTGGCAGAATGGATAAAAACACATGCTCCAGCTATATGCTGGCTAGAAAAGACTCCCTTGAGATTCAAAAAAACACAGAGATTGAAAGTGAAAGAATGGAAAGATATTCCATGCAAATAGTAACCAAAAGAAAGCTGGGAAAACTATACTGACATCAGACAAAATAGACTTTAAATTTTAAAAAAAGTTAAAACAGAGAAGGACACTATTAATAAAAGTTTCAATACAGTAAGAAGATAGAACAATTATTAACATTTATGCACCTATTGACAGACCGTCAAAATACATATATAAAGCAAAACTGACAGGAATGAAGGAGAAATAGACAGTTCTGCAGTAATAGTCAGAGACTTCAGTACCCTCTCACAGTAATGGAGAGAACAACCAGACAGAGGATAAGGAAATAGAGGACCTGGATACCATGATAAACCAACTAGATCTGACAGACACATACAGAACACATTCCCCAACAACAGAATATACATTCTTCTCCAGGGCACATGGCACATTTTCAAGGATAGACCATATGTTAAACTATAAGTTCAGTCTCATTAGATTTTTTTAAGATTTTATTTATTTATTTGACAGAGAGAGACACAGCAAGAGAGGAAACACAAGCAGTGGGAGAGAGAGGGGGAGAAGCAGGCTTCCTGCTGAGCAGAGAGCCCAATGCGGAGCTCGATCCCAGGACCCTGGGATCATTACCTGAGCCGAAGGCAGATGCTTAGTGATTGAGTTACCCAGGCACCCCCTCAATAGATTTTAAAGGACAGGTGTCATACAAAGTATCTTCTCTGGCCACAATGGGACAAAGTTAGAAATCAGTAACAAAAGGAAAACTGAAAAATTCACAGAATTGTGGAAATTAACACACTTTTTAAAAATCAGTGGATCAAAGAAGAAATCACCAGAGAGATTAGAAAGTATTTAGAAATGAATGAAAATGAAAACACAACATACTAAAACTATGGGGCACAGTGGAAACAGTGCTAAAGTAAAATTTACTGTTGTAAATACTTACATTAAAAACAAGAAATTTCAATGATTAGTTGCACAATGAATGTTTTGGTTTTAAGAAGAAGGGAAGGAATGAATGAATGAACAAACCAACAATCTAACTTTACAACGTAAGGAACTAGAAAAAGAAAAACAAACTAAACACAAAGCTAGCAGAAGAAAGGAAATAATAAAGACTAAGGCAGAGATAAAATATAGAGAATAGAGAAACAATGGAGAAAGATCAATGAAACCAAAAATTGGTCCTTCAGAAATATCAACATAATTGACAAACTCTTAGCTAGGTAGACTAAGGAAAAAAAAGACTGAAATTACTAAAATCAGAAATGAAGGGGGGAGAATTACTGCTGATTCTATAGAAATAAAAAGAGAATGTATCATGAACGGTTACCATCAAATTGGATAGCCTTGATAAAATGGACAAATTGCTAGAAATGCCAAGCCTAGCAAGACTAAATCAGAAAGAAAGAGAAAATCTGACTAGACCAATAACTAGTAAGGATATTGAATTAGTAAGCATAAACCCTCCCTACAAAGAAAAGGCCTCTCATGCCTCACTGGTGAATTCTTCCAAACATTTAAAAAAAAAAAAAATTACTGTCAGTCTTTCTCAAACATTTCCCAGAAAATGAAGAGGAGGGAGTACTTCCCTAACCCACTTTATGAGAACAGCATTACCCTGATGCTAAAGCCAGACAAAAGCACTACAAGGACAGAAAACTACAAACCAATACCCTTTACAAATACTGGTTTTTCAAAAGATCTTTAACAAAATACTAGCAAACAGAATTCAGCAATGTATTAAAAGGATTATATACCCTGACCAAGTAGGATATATACCCTGACTACAAGGATGGTCCAACATATAAAAATTAATTCGTGTGATATGCCACATCAACAGAGTGAAGAAAAACAACCACAGATTATTTCAATTGATGCTGAAAAAGCATTTGACAAAATTGAACACCCTTTCATAATAAAAAACTTCACAAACTAGGAGGAACTTCACAATAGAAGGAAACTACCTCAACATAATAAAAGCTATATATGAAAAGCCCACCTCAAACATCATACCCAGTGGTGAAAGACTGAAAGAATTTCCTCTAAGAAACAGAAACAAGGCAAGGATCCCTGCTTTCATCACTTCTGTTCAGCATAGTACTGGCAACGCTAGTAAGAGCAATTTGACAAGAAAAAGAAATAAAGGACAGCCAGAGTGGAAAAAAAGAAGTAAAATTATCTCTTTATAGATGTTATGATCTTATGTGTAAGGAAACCCTAAAAGATTCCCAAAAAAACTATTATAATAAATGAATTCAGTAAAGTAGCAAAATATAAAATCACACAAAAATCAGTTGTATTTCTGTACACAGACAATAAATAAACTGAAAAGGAAATTACAAAAGCAGTTCCATTTATAATCATGTCAAAAAGGATAAAATAGTTAGGAATTAACTTAACCAAGGAAGTGAAAGACTTACTCACTAAAAACTACAAAACATTGCTGAAAAAAATTAAAGAAGAATTAAGTAAAGGGAAATACATCCTGTGTTCACGGATTAGAAGACTTAATATCATTAAAATGTTTACACAGCCCAACATGATCTACAGATTCAGTGCAATCCTTATTAAAATGCCAATGACATTTGTGCAGAAATAGAAGACAATCCATTCTTTTTTTTTTTTTTAAAGATTTTATTTATTTATTTGAGAGAGCACCAGCAGTGTTGAGGGACAGAGAGAGAGGGAGAAGCAGACTCCCTGCTGAGCAGGGATCCTGACATAGGGCTCCATCGCAGGACTCCAGGATTATGACCTTCGCCAAAGGCAGATGCTTAACCAACTGAGCCACCCAGGTGCTCCAGAAGACAACCCATTCTAAAATTCACATGGAATCTCAGGGGACCCAAATAGCCAAAACAATCTTGAAAAAGAACTGGAGTATTCGTGCTTCCTGATTTCAAAACTTATTACAAACTACAGTAATCAAAACACTCTGGCATTAGCATAAAGACAAAGATATAGATCAATGGAATAGAATAGAGAGCTCAGAATAAACCCTCACCTATATGGTCAAAAGATTTTTGACAAGTGTACCAAGACCATTCAATGAGTAGCCTTTAAAGAAATGGTGCTGGGAAAACAGGGTATCCACATGCAGAAGAACGAAGTTAGGGGCCCCTGGTGTCTCAGTCAGTTAAGCATCTGCCTTCAGTTTTGGTGATGATCTCAGGGTCCTAGGAGGGAGCCCCGATTTGAACTTTCTGCTCACTGGGGAGTCTGCTTCTCCTTCTCCCTATGCCCCTCCCCACTGTTCATGCTCTCTCTCTCAAATAAATTAAAAAAAAAAAAAACTTAAAAAATGTTTAAACACTTTAAAGATTTAAAAAAAAAAAAAATGGGCCCCTGGTTGGCTCAGTCAGTTTAGCATCTGCCTTTGGCTCAGGTCATGAACCCAGGGTCCTAGACTCGAGTCCCACATTGGGCTCCCTGCTCAGTGGGAAGCCTGCTTCTCTCTCTCTCTCTCTTTCTCTCTCTATCAAATAAATAAATAAAACCTTAAAAAAAAAAAAAGGATGAAGTTAGACCCTTACCTAACATCAAATACAAAAATTAACTCAAAATGGATTAAGGACCGAAATGTAAGATGTAAAGTAATAAAACTCTTTGAAGAAAAGATAGGACAAAAGCTTCATGGGATTAGATTTGGCATTATTTATTAGATAGGACACTAATGGCACAGATTTTTGAAAATGGACAAATTGGAATTTATGAAAATAAAAACTTTTGTACACTAAAAGATATCACCAAGAGAATGATAAGGCAGCCCTCAGAAGATGAGAAAATATTTACAAATCATATATCTAATAAAGGATTAATTTTCAGAGAATATATAGAGAAAGTCCTGAAACTCAACAACAGAAAAGACAACCTAATTAAAAAATGAGCAAAGGACTCAGATGGTCATTTCTCCAAAGAAGATATACAAGTGATCAACAAACACATGAAAATGTTCTCAGCATCACTAACCATTAGGGAAATGCAAATCAAAACTCGAGTGAGATACTACCTCCTATCCACTAAAGTGGTTACCATCAAAATAAACAAAAACCAGAAGATAACAAGTGTTGACAAGAACATGGACAAATTGGAACCCTGTGCACTGTTGGAAATGTGAAATGGTACAGGTGCTGTGGAAAACAGTATGGTGACTCCTCAAAAATTTAAAAATAGAATTATGTATGATCCAGCAATTCTACTTCTGGTTATATAAGCAAAGAGATAGACATCCATGTTCATAGCATCAGTATTCACAATTGCTAAAACATAGAAGCAACCCAAGTGTCCCATCAGTGCATGGACGGCTAAGCAAAATGTGGAATAGTCACACAATGGAATATTACTCAGCCTTAGAAATGGGAAATCCTGCAGTTGCTACACTGATGAACCTTTAGGACTTTTTGCTAAGGGAAGAAAGCAATTACAAAAAAGGCAAATACTGTATGATTCCATTTATATGGGATTCTTAGAGTAGTCAAAATCAGAGAGAAAGAAAATAGAACGATAGTTGCCAGGTCTGTAGGTAGAGGAGAATGGGAAGTTATTGTAATGGTTACAGAATTTCAGTTTTTGTGTTTTTTTTAAGATTTTATTTATTTATTTATTTGACAGAGAGAGAGAGAGACAGAGATCACAAGCAGGCAGAGAGGCAGGCAGAGAGAGAGGGGGAAGCAGGCTCCCCACCGAGCAAAGAGCCCGATGCGGGGCTCAACTGGGACCTTGAGATCATGACCTGAGCTGAAGGCAGTGGCTTAACCCACTGAGTCACCCAAGCGCCCCCAGAATTTCAGTTTTACAAGATGAAGAGTTACGGGGATAGAAGATGGTAATGGTTGCACAATGATGGAAATATTTAATACCACTGAACTGTACAGTTAAAATTAAGACACTAGGGGTGCCCGCGTGGCTCAGTCGGTTAAACGTCAGGCTGTTGGTTTCGGCTCAGGTCAGGATATCATAGAGTTGTGAGGTTGAACCCCGTGTGGGGCTTACACTCTGGGGAGCCTGCTTGCAGATTCTGTCTGCCCGCCCCTCCCCCTGCTCATGTGCTTGCTCGCTCAAATAAATAAGTCTATCTTTTAAAAAAAAATTAGGGGCAACTGGATGGCTCAGTCAGTTAAGCGTCTGCCTTCGGCTCAGGTCATGATCCCAGGATCCTGGGATCCAGCCCCCGTGTTGGGCTCCCTGCTCAGCAGGGAGCCTGCTTCTCCTTCTCCCTTTCCCTCTTGCTTGTTCTCTCTCTCTCCATCTCTGTCAAATAAATAAATAAAATCTTAAAAAATATAAAGACACTAAGTATATTTTATGTATGTTTTACAGCAGTGGAAAAAAGAAACTTTTCCTGGAGGAAAACACTTATATATTAAGATATTCTTAGACCATTGACTTGATTTCTTATACACATGGAGTTTTTAGTGATTAAGATTCTTTAACTGGTTATCTTGATTTACTTAATAAGATTATATCAAGAACATAATAAGAACTGATCTTGGTTATTACCTATAATTGGTATTTGGCCAGGCCAATTAAATATTACAGAGATTCAGTTAAATCACATAATGGATTTTTGTATCTTTCTTGATTGTGGAAATTGTGATGTTTTTATTTAGTGATTTCTCTTGGGGGGACAGTCCAAATAGATGGATGACTTTTAACTTTGTGTTGACTTTCACTTTCCTCACTCACAACACTGCAGCAGACTTACTTTGCAAAGAGAGTAGGAGGAAGCACTAAAAAAAACTTGGTTAGCAACATAATTTATTTCTAATATTCTCCTTATGTTTTCACAATGTGAATCCAGAACCATTCAAACACTAAAACATTCTGCTTTTAAACCCTATCCCAAAATATCACGAGGCAGAAGAGAGCAGTGTTAGAGCATGAACATCAAAACTGGGATTTACTTTTCAAAATTTAAATAGAGATTGAATTAAATCAAGGACAAAATGTCTTGATAATCATCAAAAATGGAAAGTTTTTATTTTTTATAGTTCATCTTTTAAAAAGGAGAATATAAAATGATAAACTTGAAAATTTTGGCATGACATGGGAGACTTTTTGGACACACAGAATACATATTTTTACTTCTTTTACATGCCTGAGACTCTATAATTGCAAAATCCTTTGGTATATAACTTGAGGGCATTTACATGTACAAAGCTGAGACTATAATTGTGTTTTTATGTATAAATTTGGATGAATATTAAAAATATGAAATATTTTTCCTTTTTTCCTCACTATGTCTGTAGGAAAGTTTATCTTGCAGAGATTTTTGTATAGCAATCCTCATAGTATCCCCATAAGGACCTCCAATCTTAACCCTCTAATGAAATAAACATTTCATCTTTGAATGCAGTGTTTGTCACAAGTGACAAAGGGTTTTCTGTTAGGAATTCAAAATCTAAGATTTTTATTTTGTAGGAAAGTTCATTTCAGTTTGGTTCATTTCATTTCTTTAGAGCCTCCAAAATTCTTGCCCATATCATCAACACCCCAGCCAGAGAGACGGCAGCCACCCCAGAGACGACATTCTATTGAAAAGGAAACACCCACTAATGTAAGACAGTTTCTGCCACCGTCCAAGCAGAGCTCCCGATCTCTTGTAAGTAACTGGAAGGCTTCATAGTGACTTAAGGATCAGTGAGAGGCCTCTTATCATTAGCTCTCGATGATTAGGAGGAAAAATAAACTTCCAAACGTTAAAATGAACTTCAAACAGCTTTATTTGTTTTTAATATCTAAAGAAAACCAACTCTAACAGTCACCTAAATGAAATTTGACCATTCTTTGTTCATTTTAAAGTACTTTTTTTTTCCAGAATACTTACCAATGGTTGAAAATATGTTTTATTATTATTAAAGAAATGCTTTTTTCTTTTTAAGGGAATTAGTATGCTTAAAAATTGTTAAAACTCATCAAAAGGTTGTTTTATGGAGGCAGAAATATGGGGAGAATTTTGATCCATTAGAAACCATTGTACATTGTTTTCAAGTATGTTTTATGATCTTGGAGCCAAAGCTGCTGTTTGCCCTGGATGACAGTTTTGCTGTTTTCCCAAGACTTCAGGTTCATCTAGTGGCTTTGATTCCCATGACAGTCGGCCCCTGCCAAGAAGAAGTAACAGACCCTCTAACCAAAGGCGGTCTGCAAAGATTCTTTTGTAGTCCCACTTGACTTCACAAATATTTGCTGGGGAGATGAAGACTTCAATCAGTCATTTTACCAGCAACCTAATATCTAATGTTTTCTCAGGTATTCATGAATAAAAAGCACTGGAATATGCTTACTCCATTTTTTTCAGCCATATTTTTAAGCTATCTTGAATTATCAAGGGTTCAAATAAAGCAATGACAGATGTCCCTCCCTCAAAGTAGAGGAGGGTGGTGTGGTTACTGTGAAGGCACCAAGTTTGGACAGAGCTTTATAGTGTTGAAATTTAATCAGTCATCTCTGTTCCCAAACAGTTCGACTAAAGAACTAGTGATTATATGTCAATTCCTGACCCAAGTCCTCTAACTCCCAAATAATCACTGAAACATTGATTAAATATAGCCTCGCCGGTGGTTTACCCGTAGAAAAAGAGAACTCTAACCAGACAGCCTCAAACTTCAGAATCCAAAGACTTGTGTTAATGTGAACAACTTTTTGCTTTAGCAAAATGTAGTTATTGTCACAGCTTAAGTCTGTTCGAGGTCACAAGTCCAATAATTGGGCGATTGTTCTCTTCATCCAGCTTTCCTCTTAGAAGCCAGTGCATCATTCGGCTGTGCACCAGGCCTTGTGATCACATGACACCACTGCGCATGTTCAATTTAAAAATTATCAATGTAGAGGAACTGTCAGGTCAATTAAAAGAAATTTCAGCTACTAGGAGAAATTTTGAACAGCAGAGAAAAAATACCAAAGAGATAATGGAGGAAAGACCATCCGCCCACATCGAGGGCCCAGAAGTGTTTTCCTGAAACAAAGGGGAACCCTTGGTATGTGCTAGGTCAGGCTGTGAGTTACTTTTTGTGGAGAAGAAGAGCAAGATAAAACCAATCTGTGGTCACAGCTAAGAGTCTCAGTGGAAGACCGTGGGAAAGCACTTCCGTTCGTTGGCTGGCGTCCAGGTTCCTCATGGAACCACAGCTCCCTCCAAGGGCCCAGGGTACCAGCCAAGACAAAGACACTTCCAGGTCAGAGTAGTGACCCTTCTTGCTAGTAGCTTGTCTTGGGAAATCCATAAAGTCACACTCATCTTGCGGCAGGGCCTTCTAGCTTGGTAAGTATCATTTTAAAAAAGTATGACAATTTAAAACTGTAGCTCTATTTAAGAAAACAAGGCATCATTTCGTATTTATAACCCCTCCACTGAAAATGGCAGAAATGTCTTCACTGGTCCTCGTTTTTATTTTTCTTGTGTCTCCCTCTCTTTCCCTAGGATGTTTAAAATTTTTCATCATTTTTTTTCATCATTTGGTCAAATGATTGAGGATGATTGTCCATCTAAGTGAAAGGCGACTTTCAGCGCCTTCCTCTGGGAGGCTGGGGAGCAAGTGCTGCTTGGAGCCGCCCCCCCACACCCGCTCTCACGGCCAAGTTAGAAATACCTTAGCTCTGCTGTGTGAACTCCGAGAGTCTCTAGGAATGATTTCCTGGTGCGATTACTGACTTACACATGCGGGAGCAGACGTGGTGTGGTCACACACATGAATCTACTGCTAAAGTCCTTGGTGGTGTTGTTGTTTTGTTTTTCTTTCATGCTCTGTAAGCACTATTTGTAGGTCACTCACGTTCAGCATTATTTTCTCCTTTTCTTTTCCCCCTACCATTTTCTTTTTCCCTTATCTATTGTTCAGGTTCCTAGGATAACCAGTGTTTGGCCAAGGACGCCTTTCCGACCACTTTTTTCTACCATACAAACAGCTTCTCTGCTCAGCTCTCATCCTTTTGAAGCAGCCATGTTTGGGGTAGCAGGGGCTATGTATTATCTATGTGAGAGAGCTTTTACCAGCAGGTGGAAATCCTCAAAGGTTGGCCTCTTTCTGCTGGTTCTGGGAATTATTTTACTCTCTCTAGCTCTTTGACAGTGATACCGCAACTACCGCACTCTGAACAATTAACAGCTTAGATGGGCACTTTGCTTCTGATCGTTGATTCCAGTCTTTTGTAGGATGCATAGATGACACCATGATCTCAGTTGAAAGGAAAATGATCTTGAAAGGACAACAAACTCAAAATGCAGCATCAGATTAGAGGGACCTGTGAGTGACCCAGTTGTACAGCAGGAGGAATGCCATCTCCTCTCCATGTACCGGGGGCACTCCCCGAGAGCCTGTGGGGTGCTCTCCTCCCCAGGCCCTCCCACCATCAGAACAGTGTTTGCTCCCTCACCCAGCTGACACAACAGCCTTCTTCCAGGCCACAGAGCCATGGGGACTCCCCCACCCCTGGAACCATGTCATTCCCCGTTTCCTGCACATTCCACCGTGAGCTCCAAAATGCTGTGCACCCATAGCCTGTGCCAGCCCTGGGCTCAGAATCTCTCTGTTCCGCATCTTTCATAGAGCTGGGTGGTGTGGGTCAGGTGTCATGTGGTTTTTATGACAACCCACTTCGCCATAGAAATTTTAAGTTTTCCTTTCATTGATGTGGTTATTTTAAATATGTAAATTTAGGCATTTCATTATTTTTTAGATTTTCATACAGAATATATTTTTTAAAGGAAATATAATATCTGCCAAACCCCAGTGAAATAAGCTTTCGTACTATGCCGCTATGCCGAAAGCTTCCCCTGCCCCCAGAGCAGCACCGGCTGCCCACTAGACTAGACTTTGCAGCTGCTCTCCTGTTCCGCCTCCTGTGGGATCCTGGTTCTCCTAGGTCCTTTATTTACTAAACCTATCCTTGACAAATGAAACAGCAGCTGGTTTCTTTGTTATTCTTTATTCCCCATCTTGGTTTGGAAAAGAGATTCTGAATGTAAATGAAATACATCAAATTCTTTTCTCTTATTGTCCCAAAACAGAAGAATAGATCTCTATTCTTTTTTCCACTTTAGATCTGGCCCTTTGGGCAGTACGCGGTCAGTTAAAATGCAGGGATGGCATTTTAACTCCCGCCACTGTTACTGCTATTACTGAAGATCTGCTAGCATTTTCATTTTTATTATCATTCCTCCCCAAACAGAGATGTAAGGCTATACTGTTACTCTAGGTAAAGAGTTCACTTTGAGTTTTAAAGTTGAACTTGACATAAGAGAAGAATAATTAAACTTAATAGGTGCTATTTTAATTTAAATCTGCCTTGATTTTATTAAAAACTCCAGAAAATATTGGTGGTTTTGGATAATTTTCAAATATCTGCTACTTTTTTTTTTTGCTCATTAAAAATACTATATAAAATATGCATATTCCCATTCTCTCTGTGGTTCAGTAACCAGAGTCTACATTATGCTCTGTAATTTCTATGCTCCCTTATTCTGACCCTTCTGAATGGTAAATGTAACCAGAATATTGAACAAAAACTTGTGATTTTAGTGACATATGTCCAAAGTAAGTTCTAAAGGCTCATCTGCTCCTATAGTATATTTCAATCTTGATTAAAACTCTTTCAGATTTAGCCTAAATTTTTTATTCCTAAATTTGGGAATGAGATTGAAGCAGAGGGAAGTAAGGAGATTTTAGAGGCCGTGTCTGGCTATAACAGAGCTCAGGGTGTGCGGAGGAGTGACCAAGCCCAGTGCAGAGCTCTCGCTCACTGTTAAAGCCCTGCGTGCCCCTCACATTTTGGATCATTAGTGTCCCAGCAAGATCTTTTAAGGCTAAGGCTTAATTTGGCTTTGGGGATGTTGAATTAGTATTTTTTCTCAATTGAAAAAAAGTAATGAAAACTAATTCTAGTAACTATTTATTACTTTCTTTCATGTTGCATTAAAGTTTTGTTGTCCTTGGGAAAGCACCAGAATTAAAACATTAGCATTTGACCCAATGGGAATTTTCTTACTCAACAGTAACCTCCTTGAAAGTTTAAAAAAGAACAAGAACACACACAAATACAATTTCTTATTGTGTCCTTGTGAAGTACCGGATTTGCATATGGTTCAAAGCAGGAAGTTGAAAGTATGCTTGACTAAGTCCATTTGTGACTTAAGACTGAGAAGAGGGAGGTAGAACCTGCCAGTCTATAGAGTGTGCTAGGATATCCCTGCAAATAAAAAGGACTCCCATCTACCAGAAGTGTTTACCAGCCCTAGCTGTAAAGCTAATTAAATTGGCACTATGTGCCATCTTCCCACCTGCACAGTACCAAATCTCAGGGAGTGAGGATCTGGCTAGTGGCTGGAATCATACATTAGATTGTTCCAGCTCAGCAGTTTTGTCACAGTTAGCTGTCAGAAAATGCACCACAGTCACACTCATCACTAATGAATAAAAAAAAAAAAAAAAAAAAAAAGTAGGAAAGCTGCTTGTGAAATATGTTAAAAGCTGAGAAAAGCCATCATCCAGACGTGTGCAGCCAGGATGCTTACCTCATGCACAATTCTAGTGACCTAACCTTCACACAGACAGTGCATTGTTCCCACTTGACACTAGGCTACTTTCTCAGGGGGGAGCAAAACAGAGTAGATACCGGACAAGCCCATTTAATCCTGTGATCTTTGAAAGCTTTTCCCATTGAAAGAGAAAATTATGTGATGGTGATTTTTTTAAAAAAGGATTTTAGACATCTTAGAGCAAATGATATAATCTTCCCAAACAGACAGACTACCTTCCCACCCTCCAGATACTAAGCTTTTCCTCTTAAAAAATTTAATTGCAGGATTTTTTCCAAAACATTTTAAAGCAAATTTAACCTTCTTTAAGTCAGACTGAACAGAGATGATTTTGTATTGATTGTTAGTAAGAAACAGTTCTCCAAACTACTTTTTTTTAGTAAATGCTAATGTTTATCAAGTTTGCAACCTAGATTTGTTTCTGTTTTTTTCTGATTGAAAGACAGAACTGAATGTTAAAACTCCATAAACTGACTGCATTCATAGTCATGTGCTTTCCCATTTGGCTTGTTTGATTCCAGAATGCCTGTGAGCAATGCTATTGTGTGTGTGTGGGAGTGAATTATAATGTGTTTGTACTGAGAACATTAAGTTTCAGTGTCCCTACACCACAATGGCCCCTGTGAAGCCTGGCAGGGTGAGAATGCACAAGACCGTTCTGTCTTTCTATTAGATCCACCAATCAAGTGCAGAGCCGGATGGGGAGCAGATGGGGGTGAGGCTCTTTTATTCAGTGGGATCGGTTACATCAACATCTTCCTCGGCTGTTTTTAGGGAAATCATTAACATAAGACAGCCAGCATAAATATTTATTGTGAAATTCTTAAGATTTTCTCCACGTCTTTCCAGTGCTGACTGCATATTCAGCGGTTGTTTCAAAGTAATGAGACATCCAGAGAACTGTGGGGCAGCCTTAGAGGTCTGTTCCAGAAGCTCCATGTTCCAGTTCCACTCGTACTACTAGGATTTTTCACGATGTGCTGATGTAACTTGCCACTAAATAATGCTTCTCAGTATAAATTACTAACCACCTTCTTTTGGCTATTCTGGGTACCACAAACCAGTTTTCTAAATAGTACCACTGTTGTAGACTTGCTGTTTACCTATGAGCATATACTATACAGCACGAGAATTAATGTCTGCATCATCATAAGTGAAAACTCACGTCAATTTGGTTTAGAACAAGAAAATTTTCTTCAAGATTTCAATGCATAGATACATAGCTCTGCTTAATGGGATAGAAACTTTGAGACAAAATATGCACCCAAATGTGAGGAACTTTCCTTTCCTGGAAATTTCAATAGGCTCTGACATTTGACATGGTCCCCAGAAGCTTTCTGCCATCCATTGTCTTAGTGTAATTAAAAATTAATGTGGTCCCCAGAGTGAGCCAGCTCTGTTCCAGTGTTCATTGGGAAACCTCTTTTCTTCTCTGAAGCTACTAACCAGTTGTCTGATCTGAAGGGAAATTGTGCAATGCCAGAGAAGGGGGTGGGGTGGGAGTTTCTTATTCATGTGGAATTTTGAATTTCAGGAGGAATTCTGCTATCCAGTGGAATGCCTAGCTCTCACTGTGGAGGAAGTAATGCATATTCGTCAGGTCCTGGTGAAGGCAGAGCTGGAAAAGTACCAACAGTATAAAGATGTCTACACCGCCCTGAAAAAAGGAAAGGTAGAGCGATTTCAAGTTGGTTGATAAGCAGGGTTAGAAGAATGGTCTGGTCTCCTGTGGGAGTGGTCTGCTGGCAGCCAGATGGTATAGGACTTATAGGGGATTTTAGGAGGTAAGAGGCTTATTCTCTAATACACAGTTCCTGTTCTGCGTTGCTTACAAAAAAGAGGAGTATTTTTGTTTCTCCCTGAGAAATCAAAAACTGTAGAAGATTTAAAACAACCATAATAAATAATGGCATGCCTTCATAAAACCATGTCCGCATTTTGAAGTCTTGTAAAGAAACTATATCTGGGAAAGAGACTATCTCAGAACCTTCTTCAGATTGATTCCATGATGGTGAACCTTGGAGAGCTATGGCGTATTACTACCTTTCAAAAGGGGAATTAGAAGTAAATACAGAGCCAAACTATAATTATCACAGAGCCAAACTTGAAAACAGGGTTTCTGAATTCCCATTTTCCTTCCTTCTGCTAAACTTCCCCATTATATAAATGTAAAGTGTATTTAGATGTGTAAATTAGGAATTTAACTATTGGCAATGCTTTTTTCTCCCTTTAAATTTGTACTTTTTAGCTCTGCTTTTGTTGCCGAACCAGGAGATTTTCCTTCTTCACCTGGTCTTATACCTGTCAGTTCTGTAAGAGGTAAGGTTTTGTTTTTTTTTTTTGTAATTGATGACCATAGTCAAAGAAATACCGGTTGCATTCGTATTTTCCTACACAGGAACAGTATTAGAGATTACCCAACCCATTATCAGATTTTGCTGTGCTTGGGGGTTAATAATACTGATTTTTTCAAAAGAGTAGAGCAAACAGTTACTTGGAATTAAACCTGGAAAATGCTTCTCTGCATATATTTCTTTTACATAACTAAGATCACTCTAGTAAACATATGTCCAGTTGGAACAGAAAAAAAAGATGTGATTGTCATGTGATCCCCGGATAGACAAGTAAGAAAATCCCAGACAGATGTAAATTGATCCCTTTACAGGAAACAATGTAAGAGTTAAGGTATACAGATTGTCTTCTTGATGATCCATAGATGTTAAATTCTGGTAGAAAATCAGAGGGTTTTGGCAGTTTATCATAAAAATTCACAACCATGCAGCCATTGGCTTCTTTGACATTGCAGTCGCGTCTCCGGTATCATGCTGAGTAACGTTTCTGATTTTGTATACAGGCCGGTGTGTTCCCAGTGTTGCAAAAAGGTAAGCTAAACTTGGTGAAATCACAACTTGTCTTAATTTTCAGGAGTCTCCCTCTTTAACCGCACTGCTCGTTCTCGGTTTTGTTTGGGTACAGATGCGGCTGCCCTCCAAACCATACTCCACTCTTCCCATCTTTTCATTGGGACCTTCTGCCTTGCAAAGAGGGGAAAGTTGCATGAGGCCAGAAAAGCCCACCCCTGGCCACCATCGGCCACTCCGGAGCATTGCCAGGTGAGCAGGGGGCCTGGGACCTCAGAGCATCTCTGTAAAAGAAGAATGCTCCTTTTGAGGACTGCTGATGAGGTAGAGTTCAGACTCAGGGTGGTTTGGGGTGGCTGGGTGGCTGGTTTTAATATAGTTTTGACTTGGACACAGGTCTCCAAAACTTCCTGAAGGTAACTTGACAAGGGAACAAAGCTAGCCACTTGAAGCATACTTGAATGTCATCATTACTTTTCTACTTTAGAAATAATTACTTTGGGTGTCCTTTAAAAGTCATTTTTAAAACTGACCTTGCTTTCAGTGGAGTCAAAAACTTGCATGTAACACTCTCATCTTTCTTCCTTAGTGTTGAAGGCAAATCTGGTCAGTCCGAGCGTCCCAGTGGTCTGGTAGCACTTTGCCTTAGCTTCCTGCTGTCGGTACGGCAGAAATAAAGCTTTATGCCAAAAGCTTTTGGCAATTTAAAAAAAAAAAAAAAAAGTTGCCTGAATATCAGTCCCTCTGCATTTAATGCAGAGTAAGGTTCCTGCGGGTCTTTAAGGGAGGACAGAAGGAGGTCAGGCCAGCTTGGCTTACGCGCTCACAGGGCCAAAAAGATCGGGGTTTTACATACGAGCTGCCCCCAGGGTCAGGGAGGTGCCTGGCACTGGTGCTGGGTGCTGGGCACCGGCAGTGCTACTGCTGGCCGCCGCCGCCGCTGTGCAGCCCCGCTGGTGACTTGCACCGACTCCAGTCCGAGACTCTGCCTTGCCGCTCCGGGATAGCCACCGACTCGTCACCTGTGGGTTCAAGGCTGTGGGGCACGTTGTTCCTTTCTATACCTACTCTAAACTCACATTCCTATTTGGTTTCACTAAAGTAGTCCACGAGTAGATGATTCCCAGTTATTTCAAAAAAATCACCCAAAACATTTATTACAGTGTTAACCTGGTTAACTTTAGCTCCCTGGGATCCAAATCATTAGTAACCCAAATACAAGTGTTGGAGAGGGACAGGTATATCTGATAAATGCAAAAATGCTGAGGAAGCTGCTCCTAAGAGAACTTTTCAGGACTGAGACCAGTTGACTTCAGTTTACTCTAGTCTGCCCTCCTGTCTACAGTTGACTCATGTTCACCAACTCTGACGCGGGGTCACTGGAAAAAGAACTTGAAGTCCTTTCTGAATTATCAATAGGATGTTAGCAACTTGTACTTTGTTTCGTTTTGTTTAAGTCCACTGTATAGTATTCGGGTGAATACTCTAATTAGGCTTTTTTTCCAAAAATTCCGGAAGGGATACTGAGTTTTCAGTATTATTATTTCTTTTTTTTTTTTCCAGTATAACTATTTCTTAATAAAACATGTTTCCTTGTTTCTTTTTTTTTTTTAATATTTTGAATTTTTTTTCCAATTACAAATTCTTCCTTTGGAAGAGCAGGAGGTGACTCGCCCATTCCATAATGTTTTGGGAACAGATTTAATTTTTCTGCACGTATTTTCTCAGTATTGCAGTAGAACTGTAAGTGACAATACTGGATACTCTAAAGGTTGTTTTTTGTTCCAGGTTCTCCTCAAAATCTAAGTCTGTGGACAAATCCGATGAAGAGCTACAGTTTCCCAAAGAGCTGATGGAGGACTGGAGTACTATGGAGGTGTGTGTAGACTGCAAAAAGTTTATTTCGGAAATCATCAGTTCCAGCCGGCGCAGCCTGGTGTTGGCCAACAAAAGAGCCCGATTAAAAAGGAAAACACAGTCTTTCTACATGTCCTCACCAGGCACCTCGGAGTACTGCCCTTCAGAGAGGACTATCAATGAAATCTGAGCCTGTGCCTTTCAGTTGCTTTGTGTTCCGAGTTGGCACCAGCGCGGGAGAACACTGAGCTGGACCGTCTCTCCTTGCCGTGGTCTTAGTTCATAGGCTTGAATTTGCATTAGATCAGGTTTTTGCTGCCTCACGTTGTTCCACAGACTGAATGCTGTGTTCCTATCGATCGACGATACGTGACAGGTCAGCCAATCGCTCGTTTGCACTGAGAGAGAACAATAGCTTGAAACTTGCTTCCATGTGTGTGCGTGCGGATCTGGAGGCCAGAGACTTTTTCCTTAGTTCAGTTCCTTACTGTTCCTCAGATCGTTTCCCGACTAAGGCAAAAAGCTTCTCCCAGGAGAAATCAGCCTCACAAAGGTGTCGATGTTCGCACAGTTCTACGCAGTAAGTCATATTGGCACTTCCGCCCGACAGCGTTCCTGCCTAACGCACACAGTGGCCGGGCCCTGCCACATACCGGGTACCTGGAGTCGCCGGGCCAGGCTGTGTATCATCTCATGGCACAAAACCTGGAAGGATTTGCTCCTGCTATCAAACTGATTTTAAATTATTGTTGCTCTGAGCTAAAGACTACAGGAGGGACTTCATGCCTGCATTCTAGTGCAAAACATCTGGATAAGCTGTACACCCCAGTGGGGAACCATTTCCTCTGAGCTGCTGTGTTCACCCCAGTGCAATGGATGGGTGTCCCCTGAGTGGGTGACAGGTTTTCGTCCCCTATCTTGAATGGATTATGGTTCCTTGTAGTTTTGTAACAGAGGTCTAAGAATTAAAGTTCTGTGGGAGTTTCAGGACAAAGGAAGGCTAAAAGTTTGTCAAGAAGTTGCGTGTATTTTGGTTAACTCTGAGAAGGATCGTGACAGCATAGGGTGCCAGCCGTTGCCACACTGCGGGGAACGAGCTGGAGCTCATCTGTTTTCAGCTACATTTTTCATAACTTTATAGTCTTAGCCATCACAACTAAATTAAGCCACAATTTGGTACCTAAGGTCTCCAACTGAAATTTATTTATTTTTATAAATGAATTTTAAGGGAAATAATTGTCTAGTTCTTTTAAAATTACAAGAAAATTAACCTGCTGATAGACTTTTTGGATGCTTTTTTGCACAAGTTTTCCTTGTAAATGACTGGAGGGAATAGGGCGGGTTTTGATGAAGGTAGGTTGGAGGGTAGCACTCACTGTATACATGAACTATCTCAGCTTGTTTGTCTCATGCTAGGAGCTGTACTTTATTATTTTAGTAAGCTTAGAAACTACCAACCAGTCAAATTGCCATTGGCGTTTGGGAAATCAGTTAATGCACATGCACAAGAATTTCCTAAAAGCTGTAGGACCCATCTGTAGTCAGCACTGCAATAGCACCATTGAATAAAAGGCATGGCAGTCACATTTCACTCCACATCAAAGTATAGTAACATTTCTACATTAGATTAACAGTAATACCTCAAAACTGCTCTGGTAGTAGTTTTTAATGGGTTGAAATTTACAATTTAGTAAATGGCTTAAAAATACTTATGAAATAAACTTTACTAATTGACTAAAATAATGCATGTTAACAGTTCGTCTGTATTTGCATGTCAAAATGGGCCACCAGAGAACCCTTCTTGAATTTGCACATGTTTAAATTATTTTAAAGGCTCTCGTGTACAAGATTTAAACAGTATATGGGGTGAATCTCATTTATAAAATTTTCCGAGGGACTTTTTGGACTCTGTACCCCAGATGCTTTGGTGGAAGCCACACACCCTTTGAGGGCCCCAGGTATTAGGCCTCGAAATGACTACCGGGAAAGGGAATGGTGTTTGTGTAGGTATATAGACATGACCTATGACAGAAGGCTTTTTAAAATAACGACTAGTGTACCGCTGTTACAAAAACATAAGAAACTAAGCCCCTAAAATGAGAGTTTCATTCACATTTACAAGGCAGATACCTAGCTCATCTCAGTCTTTGGCTTTAGTCATTCAGGTTTCTGATGCTGTCTAGGCTGATGAGGGCATTTTGATCACTCTTATCAGAGCATTAGAATGTGAATCCTTGAGCAGCATTAACGAGGTTTGTCAAGTGGGTGGTAGGTCTATGTGAGACAGTCCGCAGTGTGAGAAGAAGACACATGACACACTTCAAAGCGTAGAAATCGAATTAGCCTCACTTTTTATTGCCAAAACAATTTCTTACAGTTTCTCCCATAGCCATTACATGTGCCCAACACCTCAACTACGTTAGGTAATTCCCAGAGAGTAATTCACTAGCAGCTTTTGGAGCATGGTTTTACCCTTATTAACCTTCGTCTCTGACCTTAGGCCTGTCTTCCTCTTCTTAACTACTAAAATAACATACCTTCGCAGTATTCCTTTTTTTTTTTTTTTCCTGGTTTCCGACTATTCAGCATTTACACCTGATCCAACAACAACACATTGGCTAGCTGGTCAGAAGGAGATGTGTCTGAGAGCTCGCATGCACACCTGAGCAGCCCTTGGCATGCCCTCCAGCACTTGCTCCTTTCCTCCCAGACTTCACGAGATTGCCCCGCTGGGAGATCATTCCTTCCCCACAGCTTAACTTTCTACCAGTGTCAGAGTAGATAAGAATGCTTGTAAATACTGTAATATATTTATTAATATTTGAAAGGCATTCATTCAGTGGACAATGGGAATTAACTCTCCCAGGACAAGTGAAAATGAAATAATTGATATGTACGTTGACTTAACAGTCTTACTAGATTTCAAGTCTTAAGCCTTTCAGATTAAACCAGAAGGTTGTTAAGTAGGAGTTTTTAAAATGATCTTACATTTGAAGAGATGATGTGATTAGCACCGTGAACTCATACCATGAATTTTTTAAGGCTTTTATTTTTCTAACTGTATTAATAAATATAGCATTGGATTTTAGGGGTCACATAAGAGACATGAAAGTTTTCAATTATGTTGCTATTTGCTAAAGCAAAATGGCAGAAAATTTTGTTCATGCCAAACTGTTGGAAGAGCCATGGAGAAATGTGTACACTGACTGGACTTTGACCTGGCTTCCTGTGTGTGTGAGACTCAAGGTATTGCTGGCATTCAGGGTGACATGACGGTACTAAACGTTTTCCATTCAAGTCTTTTATTTTAAAATGTAGGGAAAAATAAAATGGCTTTCCATCATAACTTCCGTGTTGAGTTCCTATTGTAAAATGGTGATGTCTTTTGGGGAACTAGCGGTCAGAAACCACCTAGGTTAGGAAGGCAAGATACTTGCATCATCAGAAGTTACGATCGGGTTAAGATCGACAATCTGGCAAGGACCACACTAGAAAAATTTTTAGAAGGAGCGCCTGGGTGGTTCAGTCAGTTAAGTATCCAACTTTTGGTTTCGGCTCAGGTCACGATCTCAGGGTCATAGGATCAAGCCCCGCATCAGGCTCTGTGCTCGGTGAGGAGTCTGTGGAGATTCCCTCCCTCCCTTTCCCTTTGCCCCTCCCCCAGCTTGTGCACACTCTCTCTCTCTCACTCTCTCTAAAATAATAAATTTTGAAAAAAGGTAAAGAAAAACTTTCACTAATAACAGAAAAAAGGAAAAAAAATTTTAAAAACGGAGCCACTACCGTAATTCTATTATGCTACCAAGAAGATGTAACTTCCTCTTTTACCCTCAACAGCGTAGGAAATTAAGATTCCACAAATAGTGTGTAATGTTTCATCATATATGAGAAGTCACATGTGCAGAGACAAATTATGTACAGAAAAATAAAGCTTTTATGTATTTTTCCTAAATAGAATTCCTCAAGGGATATATTCCTAGAATGTCCCATAGGAAAATTTCCTATCGTAGCATGTAAATTGCTTGAGGAAAAAATTAGAAAGGTTAGACCCCAGTGAGCTTAGGGAAGTTCTTATGTTTCTGTTAACTAAATAGAATCATTTAACATATTTACATATCACAAACATTAGCCGATACTAAGTTTAATACTCATTTACACAAGCTACCCCCTTGTCAGGCATATTTGAGGATCTCCTTCCACTGAAGCTGCTCTGTGAGGTGTATAAACAAGCCATTTGTGTGTGTGTCCAGCTCATGATCCGTTGTTCACTGACTGGCTAAGCCAAGTCCAAGTCCTTGCCTTGGGCCTCCTGGACTCCAGAGATAGAGAAAACTTGGATACCACCAAGAGGAAAGCTTTGGGTAACCTTTCTAACTGTATGTCTTTGTCCTCCTCAGCTTCAGTGCAGGAGGGTAGTTGTGAGTCATCATAGTCTAGCATTTCCTAAAGAGAACGGTTTCTAGAAAAGGGCTTGATTGCACATATGACGTGTTTAGAGACTCCAGTTGTTGTCTCTGTGCAGAATGTGCAGATACACACACACACACACACACACACAGATTCATTATAATGTTCATACAGCGTATCCTCCTCCCATATTAGCCAAAGGCCCAAGTCTAAAAACCTCCTTTTATCACCCAAAAAGTTGAGGAACTAAGAACCTATTTAATATAAAACTCTGCCTACACTAATTAAATGTTCAGGTGCAATTACCTGGCAGACTGAATTTGCACTATTTTTTCTGGTGCATTCCATTAAAATGTATATGATGCATAATTGATGTATTTAGAATAGATCTTACTATGCAAAAGATTCTGCGGCTCTGCTGCAGCAAAACCCGAGCCACTTCGGCATCACTGAAGTAGTGGAAATAAAAGAGCTTCAGAACTGACAAGACTAGGCTCTTGAAAAGTGGGGCATCAAAAGTTGCTTTACATCCTGCAGCTTTAGAACTGGGGAATCCTCGGAGGTTTAGACTCACGCCATGTTCAGTGTGTGCTGTGAACAGCGTACAACTCATTGCTCAGATTTCTTTTGCTGCCTAGAAGGCCTGACCCTGTGGGTCCTGCACTAGGAATGCTCTCACAGGCTGCACTAATGAATCCAACTATGGACTGGGGGGGAAACTCCTGAGTGTGGCTGGCAAGGGGGACAACCTTGAGCGAGCTTGCTCACTTAAAGTTTGCCCTTCTGTGTATTCTTTGCTTTCATATTCCCTTGTGACTGAGGCACCGTTCAGTCCCTTTCCCTAGGGTGACACAGCAGAGGACATCCCATCCCAACTCCTCCCAAGAGCAGCAGTGCTGGGAAGAGTGGAAGTGCCAGAGATGAGTGAGGATTTCTGTAGAGCTACCTTGAATATCAAGTTCTTAAGCAAACATGGTGTAAAAGCTGCAGGAAAGCACGTGGGGGAAGGAAGGAACAGCCAGTCTCTGCACAGGTAAATCCGAACAATGTAGCTACAGCTGTATGGAGCCTCGGGTGTAAGCAAGAAACAGGATCACTTCTACTTTTAAAGGGAAAAAATTTTGATCTCAGACATCCCAAAGAGAAAAGAAGCCTCAGAAGATTCCAGCTTGCCCATCAAGGCAGGGGACGTGACTTGAGACAACAAGCCTGGAGTCATCCTAGCACAAGTCTCAAGGTCATTTCAGAAGTCAGATTCACAGAATAGAAACTAGGACTGGCACTCCAGCCCCCAAGTGTCTCCTATGACAACCTAAAATATTCCCCAAGGTGTATCCAGTGATAGACACACGTCCTTCCCAGCAAAAACTGGACCTTTCTCTGTTCCAAATCTAGTGAAAAGGATTTCTCAGGACCCACGAGCCTTCGTTCTGACGACTGAAACAAATTAGTTTGTCATCATCGAAGCTGATTCTAAAATGGTACTAACTTAACTGTGCTCCAGACAACAGAACAGCTATCTAACACTGAAAAGGTTCCTTAACATTTCTGGATTTCAGTTTCTTCCATTTTTTTTTAAGATT